CTACCCCCATAAGCAGAGGGCATGAAAAAAACTGAAGAAAGAGGCTGGCCATTCCAGTTTGGTAAATAGTAGGGTTTATTAAGGGAAACTTACATATGAATTGAGTCTTGGGTGTCCTGCAAGACAAAATGGATCTCTGCACCTTTTGACAGGTGCCAAAGACGTGTAGAGGGTAAAAGGGGGAAATAAGAATGGGTACTAGTACATAAATGCTACCAGGTATGGGAAATTACTTTACATGCTTGATCAGGTCAGGACAATGTCTAGGAACCAGCATGTAGTAGGAGGCAGGGGAGGGGTGTTGATTTAGCTCAGAATGAACATCAGTTATGACCAGACAGTCTCTGGCAGGGAGAGAGGGTTGTGGTAAGCAATCTCTGGCCTGGATCTAGCTCCCAGGTTTGGCAGTGGTCACAGCATGGAACAGTCTGTCCTCCATACCTCCCATTAACTCTATATCCCCTTTAGGTTACTACTCTCAGTCTTCTGCTCCCTTTTACAACAAAACTTTTTGAAAGAGGTGTGAGACATTCTGCCTCCACTTTCTTTCCTCCTATTCTCTTTTTAAAATCCATTCCAGTCAGGCTTTTTATTCCACAATATACAGAAATTGTTTTTGTCCAGGTCGTGAAGGACTACCATATTGCCCAATCTAGTGGTTCTCTATCCTATCTTTACATTTGACACAGACAGTCCACTCTCTTCTTTTTGTAACTCCTCATCATTTGGCTCCAGGAACACCACACTCTTACTTCTCATGTTATCTCACAAGCTGCTCTTCTTAGTCTTTATTGCTGGTTCTTCCTCATCTTCTTGACTTCTAAATGTTAGTTTAGTTGTTCAAGGCTTTGTCTCTTTTATAATTCCTGTCATCTCTTAGGGCATTCCATCTTGCTGATTCTTGGCCTGCCAGGGGTTGTTGCAATGTAATGAATTATAAGCAGACAAGACTTGGAGTGGGGGGGAGCATTGAAAGGGAGCAAATGCTTCCGATCTCTGGATGCAGGCCAATTTATTTGCAAAGCCGTTCCCTAGGTTACGCGGTGTTTTAGGTAATTAAATCCTTGAGATAGCGTTGCTGCTGACCTTTCAGCCAAACCCAGCATTCTTCCTGTTTCAGCTGCTTCTGGCTGTTTTCAGTGGAAATACATAACAAACATATTCATGCTTGGGTCATACACCCATTGGCACTTTCAGGGGACATTCTAACCCAATATGCATACCTTATCTGTTCTCATGCATACTTAAAAAATTTTTCTTCTTGAAATTCTCTCTCTCTCTCTCTCTCTCTCTCTCTCTCTCTCTCTCTCACACACACACACACACACACACACACACTCAAACACATTCCTGCATCTCCTCCTTTTCCCCCAGGTGTGTTTTCCTTGCCTCCCTCTCCCCTAAGCTGCAGGGGCCCTTCTTTTGCCTCTATAATTTGTTTCCTGAGCCCATTTTTTCCTACAGCTCACTTCTTCTACCTCTGTGACTTTCTAAATAAACTTTCTCTTAGAGTCTGAGTCTTGACTCTGACTTCTTTCTTAGCCAAAACTCAACCAAGGTTGCTGAACCAAGGTCTGGTCTGATTTCACCACTCTAACACCTGGCACCGTTTGGCTGCCCACAGATGGTCCTGCATGGTGGTTAAGGTGTATGCCAGAAACCGAGACAAGGTGCCAGAGAATGGTGTTGAATCAGGGGTAACCAGAGGGACCATGCAACTCCGGGTGCGAGCAAGGTGTGGATTAGAGGGCCCTGTCCCGCCACCTGCTGGCACCTCAAGCTAGTCCGAATGACACTGTTGGAAGAATTCACTGAAACCTGGTGGAAACATACCCTGAAGTAACAAGTAAATTTAGAAATGAAGTCAGAGTGAGCCAGTGGGCTGCCGCACGTCAGAACATCCCACCGCCAAGAAAAAGAAGAACGTGTTATTACATCTTGCTCCTCCTACTGCTATGAAAGAAGCACGGCTTTTAGAAGGTTTCATTAGATTTTTTTTTTTTCCTTGAATTTATTGGGGGACATCGGTTAATAAAATTATATAGGTTTCAGGTGTACAGTTCTATAACAACACATCATGTGTATATTGTATTGTGTGTTCACCACCCCAAGTCAAGTCTCCTTCCATCACCATTTATCCTCTTATACCCTCGTCAACATTTCATTGGATTTTAAAGAGAACACAAACCACTCCAAAAGGATAAAAATTAAATTATTATAAAAAAACATTTTTTTTTCTTTATTGATTTTAGAGAGAGAGAGAGGAAAGGAGAGGGAGAAAGAGATAGAAACATCGAAGAGAGAGAACACCGATTGGTCGCCTCCTACATGCCCCACACTGGGGATGTGACCCACAACCTGGGCATATGCCCTGACATGGAATCAAACCTGCAACCTCTTGGTGCATGGGTCAATGCTCAACTACTGAGCCACACTGGCCAGGCATACTTTGATTGTCACTCTCTTGGGCAGCGTTCCAACCCATCATGCATACTTTGATTATTGTCAAGGCGGTGTTCCAACCTTATCTTGCATACTTTATCTACTTTCATGCATACTTTGGTCCTTGGCTGGCTAGGCCATGAGAATGCATACCTCAAGGTTATATTTTGTTCATCCACCAAACCCCCAACCCTACACCATCTAGTACCAAGGTTTCAGGTCCATCCTATAATCATGACTTCCATATTTATATATTCTCTCCCCTGAACTTTAAACAAATCTATTTGATTATCTATTTATCATGTCTACTTGGACATCTAATAACTGTTTTATGCTACTCTGTCCAAAAATGAATTCTTAATGTTCCTCAAAACTCCTCATTCTCAGTCTTCCCCCTCCATAATGAAAACTATTCTACTATTTGCTCAGGTCAAATCCCTGAAATCAACCTTTATTTCTCTACTTCTCTCGGATGCTCAATTAGCATATCTTTTTTTTTTTATCCTCACCTGAGGACATTTTTCGATATTTTGTTCAGATAGAGTGGGAGGGAGAGAGGGAGAGAGAAACATTGACGTGAAAGGGACTCATCGAGTTATTGCCACCCACATGACCCAACCAGGGCCGGGGACAAACCGCAACCGAGGTACGGGCCCTTAGTGGGAACCAAACTTGGGTCTCTCTGGACCACAGGCCGACACTCTAACTGCTGAGCCAAAACGGCCAGGGCTCAATTAGCATATCTTATAGGCCCTTCCTTTGCAATATATCTGGTATCTGACCAGTATTCACCCCTCCACTGCCACCATGCTGGCCCAACAACTATCTTCTCTTGCCCAGACTCCCACAGTAGTCTCTTATAGGGCCTCCCTGCTTCTACCTTGTCTCTTTCTAGAGACTCTTTTCATACAGCATCCAAAGTAAAACTTTTATAGGCGTCATCTTACTAGCTGATTCAGAGTCTCTCAGCTACCTTTTTTAGCTGTATTTTAGATTCCAGACTTAATATGCCAACAGAACACTTAGCTTGTAGCTTGGACCCCATCTCTGGTATAATGCTCAAACAAAAGTACTTTAAGTTGATAAGAATAAACACCTTTTCTTGGGTGGCAAGTGGTTAATATTGGTGCTTTAGTGGATGTTTACCCACAAAGTCTGGAGGGGAGAAATAAGTAAAATACAGAAACCAGGACACAAAATCCATTCATAGAAGCCACCTAGGACAGAGGCCCTTCAAGAGAAGCCAGCAAAGGATATAAATAGATCTTAAGGTTTTGAGAAAACACTCAAGTAGGAAATCAATGTAGCCTATTATGTGACTCTATTTCTTTTTCTTCTTAACATTGATCACTATCTGGTTTTTATTTGCTCATTGCCTGTCTCCTTCTTTTAAAAACATAAGCTTAATTTGATTTACTTAAATTAAGTTTGTGATTAGTGGCCTCTGTCTCCAGTGCCGAAAAAGCGCTTGGCACATGGTAGGTGCTCAATCAGCATATACAGAATGACTCAAGACACAAAATTAGCTTCACAAAACAGTGTTTTGTTTTTGAGCTTTTATAAATCAACCCAAAGTCATTTCTTTTGTAGTTCACAACTAATTTTTCCCTTTTATTTTGAGGGTAGGTAGGTGAGGATGGGGTGAAATGCAACTTTAATCTGAGTTTACTGAAGATGGAAGCACCAAGAATAACCTAGTGAGAATAGTATTCTGATAACATTACCTAGAGAATAACATGGTTCCTGTTCCAGCTTTGCCAATTATCATTTGCAATTTCCTTATCTGCAATGTGGGGACAATTATATAACTTTTATAGGGTAATTGTGAGGATTAAATGAGAAAATAAATACGTGTTAAGGCCTTAGGGCAGTGCCTCTAACTACATCAATAGAGTCAGCTATTTGGTTGTTATAATATTTATATTGGTGGTACATTACTACTCATAAATTACTACATCATAAATCCACTCAAAGCGAGTGTTGAGTCATGTTGACCCCTAATCGAACACATTGCTTCAGTTTGCTCCCCATAATTCACTTGAGAAATCCAAAAGCTTTCGTGATTTTAATTTACTACCATTGCGGGGTTCCTAACTACGGCCTGCAGTCAACAGGAAGTAAATAAGATTTCAGGGCAGAAATCAATTCATTATTAGTGTAAATTGAAAGCACTCTAGCCTTTAGGATCTCGCCGTGAATCGCTTAAAGGCAGGGACGTGTCTCATTGGATTCTATAGCCCCAGAGCCTAGCAGAGCGCCTGGCACAGGAAAGTCAATTTGATTAAGTGAATGACGAGCACATGCCGACCCCCTAAGAGCGTTTTCAGGCGAGCAGCAGAGCGCGCATGAGCACAACCAGAAGCACAGGAGCGCGAATGCCGTGCTCCGCGGGCACCCGGCTGCAGGAACCCGATGAGTCTGAAGGGTACCTCGGCCCAGCCGCTCAAATCCGAACTTAGCGCTGGACGCGCCCCCTGGCGGCGGCTGCGCCCGCGAGTCGACCCATTTGCGTCGGGAAGGAAGCGCCCGAAGCAACGCGGGACGACGCGGGGCGGAGCCTCTCCGGTCCCGATGGAGCGCGCGGTGGCTGCCGCAGACCTGGGCAACTCTCCCGGCTTCTTACAGACCCTTCAGACCGAGAGCCGAGCGGAAGCGGCGCGGGCAGGGCCGCGAGTGCAGGAGCAGGACTTAAGGCAGTGGGGGCTGACAGGTCAGTGGCCACGGGCGAACTTCCGCCCGGCCGGGCAACTCGCTGGGACTCCCCTCTCCCGGGCCGGGACCCCGCGCCACGAACGGTGCTGGGCGCCGCGAGGGGAGCGTCCTGCGGGCTGTTTCCTGCGGACCACAGGGCCTTCCCTTCCCGGCCCTGCGGTGGGGCTGGGCGGAGGGGAGCCCCGTGGCCCGGCGTGTGCAGCGCGCGGGCTGGGCGGACGCAGGCAGGTGGGATTCCGGGCGCCCGGCATGGCCCAGGGGAGAGGGAGCGTGGTGAGGCCTTGTCCGAAAGGGGAGGCTTTGCTCGGAAGAAGCGGAGGACGTCCTGGCGTCCCCGGGCTTGGGTTTGGTTTCTGTGCTGGTGGGTTTGCAGGCCTGGGCTGAGGGTTTCCACAGTTAGTTCTGTGAAACTATCGGAACTCGGTTTCCAGTTCTAGGTTTCTTCGTTTACTGTGCAAGCGCGCTTCTGAAGGAATCGTCCCCCGCCTAATCCCCCCACTGCTATATTTTATTATTGTTGTTACTATTTATCCTCACCCGAGGATATTTTTCCTTTGATTTTTAAAGAGGGTGGAAGGGAGAGGGGGTGGGAAAGCGAGCGAGCGAGAGAGAGAGAGAGAAAGAGAAAGAAACAGAAAGAGAGAGAGAGAGAAACAGAAATATCAGTGTGATGATTGGTTGCCTCTCGCTTGCGTCCCAGCCGGGGCAGGATTGCACCTGCAAGCCAGGTACCTGCCCTTGACCGGAAGTGGAGCCCGGGGATGCACAGGAGAATGCCCTAATCACAGAGCCACACTGGCTAGGTCCTCCTTGCTGTATTTTAAAATATGAAATAAGCCAAGTTTATCAGTTCATCACTGCAGGTAACTGTCCATCTTACTTACGCTAGTCCTCCCTTTCTTAAAAGTCTCCAAAGAGCAAACCGTAATTCCCCAAGATCTGCAGGCAGCAAGGCTGAGGGATCTTGTGCCAATGGAGACTCAGGTCCTATTTCCTGACCTGCACTTGACCTAACTTCTCCCACCTTGTTATATTTCTTTATAAAATGGGGAACGCTGTGAATGTTTTAACTGTATGACAGAACTTTGGATCAATAATAAGGATGTAGTGGTTAAATCATTATTTATTGGGTGCCATGGAGAGCCACATACTATAGGTGTTGCTACAGAGATGAGCATAACAAATATGGACTCTACCCTCATAGAACTTGTGGACTAGGTTTTGTGAGTGCTTTCAAAAGTACAAAGAAGTATTTATTAAACTCATACTATGTGCTAAATGTCAAGGAAGTGGGAAGTTTTGTTATTTTTGGATGAAACAAAAGGTGCAGTTTTGTGTTCAGCTTAGAAGTATGGATAAAGGATAGGGATGAGTGGATAGAAGACAGACATGAAAGAGAAAGACCTCTTCCTTCTCGAGTCTCTGCATTTGTAAGGAGTGTGTGTCCAGCTTAAATATGAATTTATGGACTGATGTTTGTGTTTGGTGTATCTTATCTCAGATTTATATGTTTGTGTGTTTGCCTATTACCTTGCATTTTTTTACATATGATACTTTGAGAACATGTGCGAGAAGGATAGATAAAATGATTGACTGTAGATAATATACTCGGAGAAATGTGCATGTGGATGTGTGCCTATTTAGTGAAAATGAGAAGATAAGTTGCAAATTTGTGTGAATGAGTTAGAGTAAGTAACTGACATAGACAAATGTGGAAACTTCATGATGGAAATGCATATATTGATAGTGGAGGGAAAGAAAAAAATGGAAAACAGGTATAGGAAAGGAATAACCATTGGCTATTATAACTCGACATTCCTATTCTGTTTACCAGAATAAATTAATATTCTGAGAAACTTTTTTGTGAGTTGGTTAAAAATACTTACTGATTTTTATTTTTATTCTGAATACAGAAGTAGTACATGTTCTCTGTACAACATTTAGGATAATTTTCTGTGCATAAAGAAAAAAATTTAATCTCCTTACTACTCTTACTGTTAACATGTTGTTATGGACCCTGCCAGCCCCTGTTTCACACATGCATATTTCTTCCTTTTTCTTCTTTTCTGAGTCAGAGGAGTGAGCCAAGGAGAGGTACAAAAATGGGGTTTCATTTTACATACTTTTTTGGAAACCATAATTAAAAAAGAATTATTATTTACTTTTCTTTGATATCTCTTTTGTGGTTATAGAGTATTTCACTGTTTGCATGTGCCATAATTTATTTAGCCACCCTAAGTACATTTTTGCTGTTATAAATAAATAATACTAATAAATATCCTTGTACCCAAATATTTATTAGAACTATGCATTTTAGTTCCTCAAAGGCAGTATTTGTAGAATAAGGAGTATGCAAAATTTTTTCTTATTTTCCTCACTTTCACTAATACTGATATTTTCCTTAAATATGCTTTTTTTTAATTGTGTTTTTTTAAGATAAAGAGGAAGGGAGAGAGAGAGAGAAAAACATCGATGTGTGAGAGAAACATCAATTGGCTGTCTCCTGCATGCACCCCACGGGGGATCGAGCCGGCATGTGCCCTGATCCGGAATAGAACCAGGACCTCTCAGTTCATGGGATGATGCTCTATCCACTGAGCCACACCTGCGGGCAACACTGTAGGGTTGGGGGTTTGGTGGATGAACAAAAGGTAACCTTAAGATATGCATTCTTGGGATCTGGCCAGCCAAGAACCAAAGTATGCATGTGAATAGATAAGGTTTGTCTGTAGGGTAGGAACACCACCCTGTCTGAACTAAATGTATTGAATAAGTGTAAGTGTGAATACATAAAGTTTGCAGGTCAAAGGGTTGGAACACTGGCTGAAACAATGGGCAGAAAACCCAGGTGTGAATGGATTTGTTTTTGTTTTTTAATCTCCTGAACTGGGCTTGGCTGTATGGTCAGCCATCTAAAGGAAATAATAACCTAAAACATCATGTAACCTGGGGAACTACTTTGCAAATAAATTGGGCTGCATCCAGAGATCTGGAGCATTTGCTCCCTTGCGATGCTCCCCCTCACTCAAAGCAGTGTCTGTAGTTCATTGGGTTGCGCCGAAAGGAACTTGATTCTGTTTTTCCTCCTCAAATGTAACAAATTATTCACTTTTTGGAAGCTGATAACTTGAAGCATTATTTTCTTCAGTATTTTTCCCAGTGATTCAAAAATTTTCCAGTAGGTCTTCCTCCTCTTAAAGGTGTTATAGCTGTATCCCATACATACCAGTGAACTTCAGAAACCCAAAATATATTGGATCATAATGATATGTCAGGGCTGCTCTCTTTTGGGGATATGCAGACTTATTACTTATTGTCGTTTCTGTCTGCTTTTCATCACTTGTCATCCACCTGAAAGGTGGTCAAGAGAATTTAAACAATTCTTTGATGGACGTTGCAGATGGACACCCTCAAATTTGTTCCTTCCCCATGCCCTATGCCTGTGTTACTGCATCCTAGAGGCTGAAAACAAAAGACTACGTTTCCCAGACTCCCTTGTAGTTCTTTTGTCATGTGACTTGGCTTCTGCCAAGTAGATGACTAAGGAAGTTGTAAGGGGGAAAGTGAGGGAGAAACCAGTGTTGGAGGGATTTGGGTTTTTGGCATTTCTCTTGGAGACTAGTCCTAACTTCAAGGTTTGGTGGATCCCTAGTACCCATTTAGTTGGCACTGATGGCAGCTGAGGTGGTAGGGTCCTCGAGCTGACAGAGTAATGGCCTTCTGGTTTTCCTCCTCTAGGTAATTTATCATTTTCTCTGGGTACTTTCAAGATACTTTGTCTAGTTTTTAGTAGCTTAATTATGACATGTGTTGTGTATATTTCTTTGGGTTTATTCTGTTCAAAGTTCGCTTAGCTTCTTGACTCTGTAGGTCTTTTGCCAAATTTGGGGAGTGTTCACTCATTATTTCTTTGAGTACTTTTCAGCCCTGACCTCTTTCTCCTGTCTTTTTGGGATGTGGTTTTAGTATTTTTTTTTTTTTCAAAGAAAGAAAAAATAGTTTAATATTGAAATGGCTAATGCAGAGGCAGGGAGCTCATGCTCTAAAAAAAGTCCCTACTCCCTGACAGCATATAGGTTACAGATTCTATAAGGCAAAGTCACAAGATACCATGGGTTAGGGGTTTGGGTTGTGCTAGGAGCTGATTGATCAGAGGTGAGGTAAGGGAAATATAGTTGTCCCTCACCACTTTGCGCTTTGACATTCATGGCTTCACTCTGTCCCGGTCTTTTCTAATACTATATTGTATTTGAAAAAACTGCGATAGAGCGAAGCCCCAAATGTCAAAGGGTGAAGTGGCGAGGGACGACTGTATGTAAATAAAGAATCCTACTTTGCGGAAATTCAGGAAATTCATTTATCCCGGTAGAGACTGGAACTGTAGAGACTGGAACTGATTAACCGTGATATCGAGGGCTGACTGTAATTCATTTGTTCAGATCTTGAGGACAGCTCTGAGGTCTTTTCCTGCTTTCCTTTGTCTGGGCTCAGGGGAAAATAGCCAGGGGGTCATTCCACCTCAGGGCTCAGGAGCTGAAATATAATTTAGGTCAAGATGTTTACTTTAGCAGCACCATTAGTCAGGTTTGCGCTACTGTCTTCTGTTGCCTCAGGGGTTTTGATTATCAAGGGGAAAGCTACTGTCTTTGTAGCAGGGTAATCCTGTCATTGTCAGTAGGTTTTCTCTCTGTTTAGGTTAATTTCTATTGATTCTTTCCTCTCTTCTCTCTATTCTTCTGTTGAGCCCATCCAGAGAGGTTTTATTTTGGTTGTTGTATTTTTCAGTTATAAAACTTCCATGTAGTTCTGTTTTATAACTTCTACTTCTTTTCTGAAGCTATTAACTGATGTAATTAGCTAGTTATTAGTAATAGGAAAGGAGTAAAAGGGAGACCAGACATTATAAGCATGGCCACCTGGGCAGCTTCACCTGGAAGCTGCAATTTCACATTCCCCAAGGAACCTCTGGTCCATACACTGTGGGAAGGGACTGGACAAAGGGGAAGATGGGCTTATGCATAGTAAAGTTGGGGTGACTTAAAGAAGGTGCTTGCTGGTCAATATAACAGATTGTTGGCTAGAGGGAGTGAAACCAACTGCAAGTGCATGACATCTTAGAAGGTTAAAATCTGCAGACAAAGGAATTCTCTCTCTCATTCCTCTGGTTTTGCTCCTGCTTCCTTGCACTTGCCCATGTTCCCTCCATAGCCATGTGGCCTTTGAAGCCACATGGCCCATGGCCATGAGGGCCCCAGATGCAATGGACTACAGCTGGGAACACAAACTGAGCTAGCCTGATGCTGGACTGGACTGTGCAAATATGGAATGGAAACTCTGAGCAGCAGCTTTAATCCTAGCTCTGCAGAAGACAAAATTGAACTTTTTCCTTGGTGGGACAGAGGGAGATGGGACCTTGTAAACTCAGGGGTTTAATTCCACACAAATAAATACCACTTTTTCTACCATGCAAGTCTCAGAAAATTCCTTTTCTCGTGATATTGCAAGAAGCCCACTTCCACCAACATCAGGGGGGACATGGAGAGCTCCCCACCAATGATAAAGCTTTTTATTTCTTCAGTTGTTTCAAATTCATAATTGCTCGTTGAAGCATTTAAAATCATTGCTGCTTTAAAACATCAGGTAACTCTAACATCTGTGTCATCTGGGGGTGTTGGCATCTAATATCTTTTTTCATTAGGTTTGAAACCTTCCTGGTTCTTGGTATGAGTGATTTTCAATTGATACCTGGACACTAGTAAATTATGTAATGAGACTCTGGATCTTATTTAAATCTTCTGTTTAACTGTCTTTGTTTTATGCTGCTCTGGCAGGGGAAGGGGGTTGTTGCCTTGTTACTGCCAGGTGGAAGTAGAAGTCCAGGGCCCCCCCTTTCAGCCTCTGTTGACACCTGAGGATAGAGAGGGAGCTCCTCCGTACCTCTGGTTGAGGATGAGAGTACTGGCTCCCCACTTCGTCTCCACTGACACTGTAGGATGGTCTTCTGGGCAACGATAAAGGTCCTGAATCTCTACTAGGCCTCCTATGACACCACTTGTGAGGGTGGCAGGTGAGAGGGTTCGTTATGATTTACTAGAGGTAGAAGTCCAGGCATTTCTGGGTTTTACATTTTTCACCTCTAGTCTCGGATATATGAGGCAAAAAGAAACCTGAAATGTATCACCTTGTTGTTCCTGAGTTCTCTAGCTGGGCTGCCTCAGGCTTCTCTCCACCTTTTCAGAGGTGACTTATGTTTGTTTTCTTTGTAACATTCAGGAGTTTTAGTTGAATCAGCAAGAAGAATGGGGAAAAGAAAATCTCCATCTTCCCAGAAGCCGGTTTCACATTTCTGTCTTCATTGATTAGTTGAATTTTCTAACCTGCACGGGGGTTTTGTTTTTAGAATTTTTTTTTTAATCCTCACCTGAGGACTTTTTTTTTTTTTTGCATTTATCTTCAGATAGAGCAGGAGGGGGAGAGGGAGGAAGAGAGAGAAACCTCCACGTGAGAGAGACACATGGAGTGGTCGCCACCCACATGACCCCAACCAGAATCGGGGCCCGGGACAGACTACAACCTAGGTACGTGCCCTTAGCGGGAACCGAACCCAGGACTCTCCGGTCTGCAGGCTGACACTCTAACTGCTGAGCCAAACTGGCCAGGGCTGCATGGGATTTTATAAGTATTAAATGAGGTAACTTATATGAAGTGTTTACTATTCTTCCTGGTTTTTAGTAAGTGCTTAGTAAAAATAACACATTTTTAAAAAATGTTCTATAATTATATGGCCTAATTTCTTTTGAAAAAGTCATGAGTTCCACCCTGGCCGGTTTGGCTCAGCGGTTGGAGCGTCGGCCTGCGGTACAGAGAGACCCGGGTTCGGTTCCTGCTAAGGGCATGTACCTCGGTTGCAGTTTGTCCCTGGCCCTGGTTGGTCGTGCGGGTGGCAGCCACTCGATGTGTCCCTTCACATCGATGTTTCTCTCTCTCTCTCTCTCTCTCCCTCCTGCTCTATCTGAACAAAAAATGGAAAAATGTCCTCAGGTGAGGATAAAAAAAAAAAAAGAAAAAGAAAAAGTCATGAGTTCAAACCAGGAAATTATATTTTTGTTAATAGTTAGTAGTATGCTTGGGGTCTTCCCTGCTCCCAAGATACAGCTATTCTCTGAAATTGGATTTTCTTTCCCCAAGGGGTGGGGGGAGGGGAGAGGCAGCAGAAGCTCCACTGGATTAGAGATGTTTCCTTCTGTTTTTGTGCACTGTTAAACACCCTCTGTGCAACATCATTTCAATCTTAACAGCATTACACCTCTCTTGAAGCATTTAATCTAGTCCTCATTTTTTTTTCTTGCAAAATATAAATGGTTGCCGTTAAGCAGACACATGTACAATTCATGTGTTGCTGTTTGTGGTTATGTTGTATCAGTAATGCCTCATTTCCGAGAATGGACACTGGCATGAGACTCAGGCAGCATAGAAGCCAACTCCCAAGTTGACTTTCTCATCTGTCGTATGGATCCCATAACACTGATAGGCTGTTTTAGGGCTTTGAATATAATGAATAAATCTGCTGAAAAAGTAGTTTGGAAGTCAGCAAATGTTTATATATATGTAACTTCTCAGCAGAGACTATGGCCAGTAATTTTGGGTTATAGGGATTTAGGCCATATTCTTCAGTTGAAGTCTTAGAACCTAGTCTGTGCATGCGCTGACATGTTTACTCTTTGAACTTGCTGTATTTTTTATTTCTAGGGATTCACCTACGCTCTTATCAACTGGAAGGAGTCAACTGGATAGCCCAGCGCTTCCATTGTCAGAATGGCTGTATCCTGGGAGATGAGATGGGTCTGGGTAAGACCTGCCAGGTATGTTACTTACCTCTGGTTGAGGGTGAGAGTACTGGCTCCCCAGGTGGTCTCCACTGACAGTGTAAGGTGGTCTCACCTTCACTGAAATACCTTCTTACAACTTCTTACTGTCTTTAACTACTAGTATGTACTTTTATTTATTTATTTATTTATTTATTTTTTATCCTCACCCGAGGACATTTTTCCATTTTTTGTTCAGATAGAGCGGGAGGGAGAGAGAGGAAGAGAGAGAGAGAGAGAGAAACATTGATGTGAAGGGACACATCGAGTGGCTGCCACCCGCAGACCAACCAGGGCCGGGGACAAACTGCAACCGAGGTACGTGCCCTTAGCGGGAACCGAACCCGGGTCTCTCTGTACCGCAGGCCGACGCTCCAACCGCTGAGCCAAACCGGCAGCAAAATGCCTGAACCTTTATTCAGAGATGAGGACCATGGAGTTGACTTTTCTAGTCATGGGGACAGTTTTGGACTGTGTCATCACTACCCTTATCTTAGCCCTTGACATGTAGAATTTTAATTACGGGGCAGGGTTTTCTCTTGTAAAGCAAATATACCTACCTGTCTCAGGGGTCAAATTGTTTCTGTCCTCCTTATCAACCCTGGATCATAAGTTAGCTGGATCATTTCTAATATTTCCCTTTCTCAGTGAGTAGTAGGATTACTTCCCATTTTTCTGGCATGCTAGAGAAGTGAAGAGGAAGTACCTTATGTTTTCCAAAATGCCTTGGGTATAGTCTAGGGACCTGCAGAATCAGATGTGGCCTCTGTAGGCATTGATAAGGAAGTGGTGTGTTGAGACAGATGCTTCTGGTAGCCCTGTGTTGACATATGTCAGTAGTAGGCTTGGACTGATGGAAAATCCAGACACAGACACCCCTTGGGTTAGATATAGAAGATTTACTTGTCTACAGGACGCCAAAGGAAGTCAGTGCAGTCAGGATACACAGCAGAGACAACTTGATCAGAAACCACAGAAGTGTAAGTTTCTTTATACCTAAAAGGTTTCACCAGTGAACACACAGAATGAGTGAAGGTCTCGTTAGTCCTTTTAGAAACTCAAGTGCTCCCTCCACCCCTAACCTCACATACACAAGCATCAAGCTGAAGGAGTTCTGCAGGTAGGCTAGTCTTTCCTTGTGTTGGAGACTAAGGAAGGTACACCTCATTAGTTTTGGGGTTATTCAGAATACAATAGGACCTTCAAGTATGGTCATAAGAGGATATTTCTCAGGGAAATAAATCTGGCTTTAGTATGTTCCCGAACTGAGACCTGTGGAACTAGAACAAAGGTAGGTTTCCTGAGGTCTCTGGGAGCCAGGCTAACAGACCCTGGGACCAGGTCCAAGCCTTCCTGGAGTCTCCTTTGCCTTGGACGTTGGAATTGCCCTGACTTCAGTAAATTCAGAGCCAGCAAATTTTACTTGTCCTTTGCCTTTCCCCAGAGTGTTACTGTAGTTCTACTTTTAAGCGCCCTACAAATATACCTCCAAATTCATCATGCTAAAATTTTGTTTAGAATTTTTGCGTCTGTGTTCATGAAGGATATTGGTCTATAATTTCTTTCTCTTGTAATGTTTTGTCTGGTTTTGATATTGTGGTAAAGCTGGACCCATAGAATGAGTTGAATATTTTCTCCTCTTTAGTTTTTTAGAAGAGTTTGTGTAGAATTGTTTTTGTTTCTTCCTTAAATGTTTGGTAGAATTCACCAGTCAATCCAAATTAATTATGTAGCTATATCTGGTTTAGAGTAATAAAATAATTTTTTTCTAAATAGTACCCTCATCAAAAGCTAGACAGAGTGGTTTTAATCCAGTAAGCACTTATCTATTTGGTGATTATTCTGGGCACAGTCTGGAATGGAAAGTGATAGATAAAGAAGAAAATTATTTCTATTATAAAATTAATGTAATCTCAAAAAAAACCCCCCAAAAAAACTACCATCCCTTAACTACAGTACTCTAACTATAATCATGAACAGCAGTGTATGTTTTACAATGGTTGAAATTATAGTGCATTTATAGTTTGTATTTTAGTAATCTAACACTGTCACTGTAATTTTTCATTTTATTTTATTCTTTCCAGTCATTATTATTTTTTTAAATCCTTACCAAAGGACATTTTTGCATTTATCTTCAGATAGAGCGGGAGGGAGAGAAAAGGAAAGAAAGAGAGAGAAACATCAATGTAAGAGAGAAACATCAATGTAAGAGAGACACATCAACTGGTTGCCACCAACACCACCCCAACAGGGGTGGGGACAAACTGCAACCATGGTATGTGCTCTTGGCAGGAACCAAACCTGGGCCTCTCTGGTCCGCTGGCTGACCCGGCCAGGGTCCAATCATTATTTTTTTTTATTGGCTGCTTAATATTCCATCAAGAGAATTAATCATATTCTACTTAAATGTCTTATAGATGAGGAATGGTGAGTTCCCCTCTTTTTGTGCTACTTAAATTAACCTCAATGTGAACACCTTTGAGTATTTGCATTCTTAGTATTTTTGTTTGTTTATTTGTTTAGGATATAATATTTATTGTTTAGGGTATAATAACAAGACAAAAAAGCCTGTACATGTTCAGTTCAGACTCACTCATTATAGGCCTAAGTATGTAGTACACATCAGCAATAATGTAAATTTTTTTCCCCAAATATTTTTTGATCTGAGGTGCATTCTCAGTATTTTGGATTAAATACTTAGAATAGATTTTCTTAGAAACAGTTCAGCATTTGGGGATGGGGGCTTCTCAGACTTTTTGTTTTATAAAAGAGAGCTATTTTCTCTGTATATCACAGAACCCTTCTAAAGATACTTTTCTAGTTAAAAGTGTGTATAGTCATATCCTATAGTAGGCCTATTTGGCTTAACAAAAATTTTTCATTTCGTACCCCTACTTAAGCTTATGAGGCACTATTTAGAATGTCTGCTCCAGGAGAGCTAGTAGTGTTATCTGTTTTGTTCATTGTTGTATACCAGTGCTCAGAACAGTGCTTAGCAAATAGAAGATGTTCTGTAAATGGAACATAGGAGGGAGGAAGTTAGGAAGGAAAGAGAACCTGTCAAGCAGCAGAGACCACCATGTGATTGGTTATTTTTACACTCATATCCTGACACTTGCTGTATGTTTTCAGAGTATTCCTGATTTCTTGTGCATTAATTGCATTGTTTTAATTGATTTGTATTGTCTTTCCTGATTTTTTCCTTTGCATTAGAGGTTCAGTTGCATAAATATTGAGCACCATTGTTTGTTAACTATTGATATAATTGAGTGCCATAGATTTCTTGGGCAATTATATCGAAGCTTACATGATTTCACTCTAGGAATGGATGACTCTCCTAATGTGTACATTATTTTTTGTAAATCTAGTCTTCTGTAAGAGTTTGTGTTCTTTACAAGGTTGTGGGAACTTTGTGTTTTTTTCTCATGTGTAAATGTGATCAAAACTGCTTTTTCTGTGTTTCAGACTATTGCTCTCTTCATTTACTTGACAGGAAGATTAAAAGATGAAGGACCATTTCTGATTCTTTGTCCCTTGTCTGTCTTGGGCAACTGGAAAGAAGAGATGGAAAGGTACAGAGCAGATGTAGCTGAAATTTTATTTTTTGCATTGATTAAAATTTTTCTTCTGAGTGATATGTGAAATATGATAAAACAACATATTGTCCTAAACAGTGAGTTAATTTTTTTTCAGAAAACTCTGACCTGAGGTAATGTAGATAAAGACTGAATATCTGAGGGGAGGTGGGTCCAGTGGGTATTGTTGTTACTATTTGGCAAGTTGAAGGTCAGTCCTTATTTGAGTAAATTTTGCTGAACTAAAGGAGAAACCATCTTTTTCATAGTGACATAGGTAGTAACCAACATGGAAAAAATTGTTTTCTTTTTAGAGTTAGCACAATGCTCCTTTTTTAAGATGTTCATCCAACCCTTCCACCTATTCACACAGGGACTAATCATTACTCTAGATAGGGTGGAAGAGTTCCAGGACTCTTTCTGATTGCAGGGCATCCTGAGGTCTGCACATCTGTAGTCCTTCCCTGAAATGTAATTTTCCAGATACGCGTGCCCTTTACTATGGCTTTGTGTTTATGTGCATCTACTTCTTTTCTTGGATTCAGATTTGCTCCAGGTCTTTCCTGTGTAATATATACAGGTGACAAAGAGGAGAGAACCCACCTACAGCAAGACCTAAAAGAGAAGCCAGGTTTTCATGTGTTGCTGAGTACCTATGAGGTATCAATTTGTTTCTCTACAGCAAGAACTCTTAACCTGGGACCTTAGAAGTTGTAGAACCCTTTGGAATTATATTTAATGATTTTTGAGAGCACACATTTTTCTGAAAAGTCTACTTTAATTAGATTCTCAGAGAGTAGATATGACCAAAGGAAATGAAGGACCATGGTGTTCTGTATTAGTTAGGTATCTCTCCCTCTCTTTCCTGGTGGATCAAAGTGGGAGGCTTCCCAGGGAGGTGGCACTTGAGCTGCTTCTTGGTTGATGAATAGGAGGCAGACAGACAGGCAGGAAAAAGGGTTTTGTGGGCTGAGGCATCATCTTTGTTACTGGAGGATGGGAATGGAGGACACTTAGTTCCAGTATCTTTTAAGTCCTTATTCTTCATGCTAAGATTGGGTCACTGTAAGCAGGACTTACTCATGCCTCCCTTTTGCTTGTTAGTAAGATAGTGCTACTTAGAAATTATGTTCATAACTCTTTTTACTTAGTGAATGAATAAGATTTAGCTAAACCCTGTAGTTTAGGAGTGTTAGCTAGAGACTAGCTTATTAATATCAGAGTTATACCAGTAACAGCCTTTATAATGTATTTTCCTTTATTTTTTCAGGTTTGTTTGAAAGACGCATCATTTCTAAAATCGTGAGTGTGTTGCGTGTGTTGAATTCATCATGAAACTCATGTCTTGTCTTCACATATTTAGAACTTTGCTTCTTTCCTGGTGTGTCTTCCATGGGTCTTATTTACAAATAGGAGTCCTACAATCTAGTCCTCTACTCATTAGCTGCATGTCCTTGGGTTAGTTATTCTCCATGAACCTCGGCTCCTTCGTGTGTAAAATGAGGATGATTATATTTCTTACCTTGGATGGCTGTTGTGAGGATTAATGAAATAAGGTGTGCATGGTGGGTAGTTAACAGATATTAGATTCTTTAAATTGCAACTTGCATGGACATGTTCAAGACTACTGTTTGGAGATTTTACTATAATATAGGAAGTGACTGATTTGAGCCTTTTCCTGGAAATGTTCTAAAGTAGTAACTGGTGCTACAAAATTAACTTTTTAGAAAGGGAGTGTTAAGTAGACTTCTAATTAATTAGCTTTCAGGTCATGAAGTACAGGAAACTTAGATTTAACTCTTAGTATCACCTGATAATAGGGATGACATGTTGCAGTATAATAGTTACAATGTAAATTAAACAAGAGCTAGACTTTAGGTAAATAAGAAGATACACTGACAGTTTCATTCTCCATTGCATGTATAGTTATGACATGGTTAGGAGGGGATTTGTTTCTTTAATGTTCAGAAACTTTTGTTTTCAAAGTGCTTATCAATATTTTAAATGTTATTTCTCATTTAGGTTCAGTTCAATTTTTTCTTCATCTTATTTTGAAATACTGAAGGCTCAGTCATAGATTTCATGACTTCCATTCAGTATTTTGTTTCATTTTTCATTTAAGTGAGCATATGATCTTATTTTTCTTTAGAAGAGGATATGCTTTATCTTTCTTTCATTTATTTATTAATATTCAACTTAATATTTGTTGAAGATCTCCTCTGGAAAGACACTTTTCTGGGAGTTATCAGAAATACCCAGAAGGGAAACCATAGAGCTACCTTAACTCTAGGACAGGGATAAAAAATAAATAGATATCCATAATACAAGGCAATATATGGAAAGTCTCAAACAATGAAAAGATTGGGACATAAATGTTATTAGGTACACTATATAAATTATCCTATTTAGTCTTCATGAAAACCCTAGTAGGCAGGTATTATCATTCATTTTATAATTTTTTTCTTTTTTATTGCTTTGAGAGAGAGGAAGGGAGAGGGAGAGAGATAGAAACATGATTGAGAGAGAACATTGATTGCCTTCTGCATGCTCCCTACTGGGGATTGGGCCCACAACCTGGGCATGTGCCCTGACCAGGAATTGAACTGGTGACATCTTGGTGCATGGGTGGATGCTCAGCCACTGAGCCACACTGGCCGGGCTGTCATTTATTTTATATTTGAGGAAAGGAAGAGATTAGGTAACCCATACACCAGTAAATTGCAGAGCAGACATCCAAACCCAGCACCAGTGCTGTGGAGCCTCTTCACTGGATTTTCACATTGTTCCACAGAAATAGAATCTTTCTGTGTCAGATTATCTGTCTTGAATGCATTCCAGGTGAATTTCGGAACCTAAGTAATGAAGGGACGTTTATAATGTTGACGCATAGTATGAATCCCAGAAATACAGATCTATTCTTTTGTTAAATGGGAGTGGGCAAAAGTAGGTTTACAGCTGTGAGTACACAAAACACAATTCTTTTTTTTTTCTTTATTGACTTTAGAAAGAGAGGAAGGGAGAGGGAGAGAGAGATAGAAACATCAATGTGAGAGAAAAACATTGATCAGCTGCCATCTGCTCGGCCCCTCCAGGAGATCAAGCCTGTAACCCAGGCAATGTGCCCTGACCAGGAATCGAACAGGGACCTCTCAGTCCGTGGGATGACACTCAATCCACTGAGCCACATGGACAGGCATATTATTATTTATTAATTATTGCATTATTTTCTATACAAGCAATTGTAAGCCTACTTTTGCCTCGCCCTGTACTTGGCAAGGTTACACTGTGTATTACTGTATTGCACACTCTGAGAACAGTGGGAAGTGTAATGTAATCTCTGCCGTAAAGAGGTTTATTATGGAGAGTTAAGACTATGCATGTAACAATATGAAAAATAGGAAATTTTTTTGATAATAGACAATAGACTTATACAATCTTTGTATAAAGAAAGTTAGGCGTTACCTCATCCCATGCTCTATTCAGTGCTAGAATTTCCTCCAACCTCTTCCTTTCCATGGAACATCCTTTAGAGTGTCCTTTGATGAATGCCTTGACCCACTTCCTTTCACAGAGCCGAAATCACCTCCTTGTAGCCTGTTTCATTGAACAAGCTTTTATTGGATGCTTGCTGTGTGTAAAACCTAAATACCTGGTTCTTCACAAGGGACTAGGACCTGATCTGTTTTGAATACTAATTCATTCAGGCACAAAGCATTATACTGTGGCCACTCTCACACCTTATCTATGACTAGTGTCCAACTTCAGCTGGACCTTTGTTCCTTGTAATCCTTAAATGCATCCCCTGCTCATGTTTTCCAGTGGGAATGATCCCAATTCCTGTTGGACCCCCAATCTCCCTCCACCCGCACCACTCTCAGTAGGTGAGTGGTACTAGGTATCTGTTTCTGTACCATTTTCTGGATTTTCTCTGTAGCTTCAGAGGAAGCCCCTACATGGCTTCTTCCTTGGAAGATCTTTCTCTAATTTATGTTGGCGAAATTACTACAGTATTTTTTCCAACATATGGCCTATTTGCTAATATTTGTTAAAAATAATAGTGAATTAATAACAAAAAATAACCTGTTAATTATAAGCAAATCTTGGTTAAAAGTATTTTAAAATTAACAGGGTTTTCATTTTCACAGGGTGTTAATTTTCACATGTGACATCCAAACCTTGTTTGTTAAATCTGAAGTCCATTAAATCAAGTTCTGCAAAATCAAGTTTACTCTACTCACCATATTATTGTAGATTAAATAACACATGTAAAGAGCCAAGTTCAGTGTCTGGCACACATTAGTGGTCATAAGTGTTTCCTTTTGCTTTTCTGTCTCTGGCTCCTTCCTTTCTACCTTCAACGCATAGGTCTTTTCTATCTTAAAAAAAAAAATTCCTTAATTTTAATACCTAATCTAGATATTGTCATATGCACATGACAGGCTTTCATATAAGAAGGCAATCTGAGTGTGTTTCTAATATTATGGGCTGAATATTTGTCTTCCCAACACTACTAATAGTTTTGTAGTAAGACATTTGAATGTGAGATATGTGTTTGACTTAATACAAAACTGAAAGCTTGGATTTTTCTCTTACAGCTTTCATTGGAGTGTTCTTGTTGTGGATGAAGCTCACAGGTTGAAAAACCAAAGCTCCTTGCTGCATAAGACACTTTTAGAGGTAAACTCACAGGATAGTCTTAATTTTTCTACAACTCCCTTTTAAAAAATATTAGTTTAGGCCTGTATAGAGCCAATTAAGTTGAAACCTTTTTTCAGTCATATTTCTGCAGGACTGAATGAACATTTTGTGAGTGATAGCAAGTGCTTAGTATGGCCTAACTGCTTTCTTTTGTCTTTTACAAAGGAGATGATGTTTACTAAAATCTGGTCATCTGGTGAATAAGTTTCTACACCAATAAAATACATTGTATTTTGGAAATGTTTCAACTCCCTTTAAAGGGGCAATTTCTTTAAAATACAGTTGTATTATAATTCTTCTGTCTGCAGTAGCAGATATATCTGAATATTGTACCCTCCCCCATTTACCTGTTTAAAAAATTTGACAGTTTACATAGAGTTACAAAGAGACTGATTTCATTCCATTGAATGTTACTTTCATTCTTTCTTGTCTTTGTTATACTTTTGAGTATGGCACCCTTGATCTCATTTCCTTCTCTTGATCTCTGACATCATTCTGGCAAAGTAGATGAGAAATGTCATTGTAGTCTGAGGTTTGCCATCTTTTCTGAGGAGCCAGTGGAACAGCTTGTGCATTTGAAGTGCCCTTCTCCTTAACCAAGTAAAGGCTTATTCATTCATGTGCCCACACGTGTGAATTTCTGTGACCATCTTTGAAGTTTTGTCCCTGTCCTGTAATCAGTTAATAAATTTAGAGGTCATTTGGAGATAAGTTTTAGATCTGGATTTTATATTTATTGGCTAGAAGCTGCAGTTTTTATCATTTTGATGCAGATATGGCCACTGTCTGTTATTAGCCCAGAGATTGCTATCCCCTGGTGAGTCTCTGTCTGCTCTATTGTCCTTTGCCTTCTTTTTAGGGACTTGTAACAGTGTCTCTTTCCCAACAGGTTTACATGTGCTGTAAACCTGAATGTTTCATAAACTCCCAAGTTCATTTACTAATTTACAAGGGGAGAAGAGAAGTAGGGATAGTAAAAGGATGCTAGGTTTGGAGTAGGGAAATGAAGTTCTGTGGCTGGCCTCAGAACCTTTGCTTGTTATCAGGAAACTAAGGCTTAGAGGGGTTCAGCGAGGAAATTGTTCTATATCATCTGTGCATCCTTTTTAGGTGAGGTTTAAAGTGTAGACAAGGAATTGGAAAAAGTACATTTATTGATTGCGCTGAGAGATGGGGATGTCAGCATAAGAAACACTCAAACCTGTGAAGAATTATTGAGTTTATTTTAGCCAACTGTCGACAATTGCCAGGAAGCAAGATCTCAACAGATTGAGGTTATGCTCCAGAGAATGGCAGTTTTGCATCTTATTTTATACATTACAATCAAAAGAGGAGATGCAAGTGGGTTACATGAAATCCATTGGTGATAGATTACGGAGGTGGGAGAAAGCATGGGGGAGAACCTCTGGGATTGAATAAAAAGTGAAATGACAAGCACTGACAAGCACATACACTTCTTTTACATAGGTGGGTATAGAATAGTTAAGTCAACAATTAACTCTGACAATGAAGGGATTTGTGGTTGCTGCAGAGCAGTGCTGGAAAAAGGAAAATCACTGTGACATTCCAAGATACATTATCATAGATGCAAAAAGACAATAGATAGGCTCAGTTAAGGTAAAGATTGACCTTTGTCAGGGAAGATTCTGACCTAGGATATGACCACCTACCATAAACTGCTTTTAGTTGAAAACTTTTAATTTCAGACCATCCTTTGTGGTTACTTTAGGTCTCTGAGTTTGTAAGACCGCCATGCAGGCCTCCCCTGAGCTTGTCAGGTTAGCATGTGGCCCCTTTTCATTCACATTGAGAAGTTTACTGCCTTTTTCCCCCTTCCTGATATTGTTTTCAGCTTGTTTGTAAAAGTTGGAAGCAACTTAAATATGAAACTTAGGGAATTAGTTATACAGTTTATGCTATATTCATACACTACATTTACAAAGTAAGGCTCCCATGAAAAATTATGTAGAAGGATATTTAATACCATGGAAAACATTTGTAAAATATTTTACACAAAAAGTTTACAAAATATTATATACAAACAGGGATTGTCTCTGGATCTTTTTTTTTTACCCAATTATAAATTTTGATGCCAATACAGACATTACTTTGAATAAAAATGTTAATTCATATGATAGCGTAAGATGATTGGAGTGACCAATAGCCTTGGTTATCTTTGTGACCTCATAGTCTTGAGTCAGCTCATCTCTTTGCTTGGTGAACAGACATTGCAAAAATGTAATCTGGTTATTAGAAACTCATTTTTTGACCAGTTTTCATACTTGAAATATTATGAAAACTTTGCCACCAAAGCAGATTAGGCGTGAATATGTGGACACTGATTTGACATTTTAAAAAGAAACACATGAAGGAGATTACCAAAGAAACCAAAACATATTCAAGTCAGTTTCAATTGATGTGTCATTTCATCTGTTACCTTTTTTTTTTGACAAAAACAGCATCTTCTCATGACTTTCTTCCAAATAAAAATATATAAAGACAAGACGAAAGTAAAAACCTCCAAGTATTCTACTCCTTTGTATATATTAACATTTGGTATATAAACTACCACATCCTTTGTTATGAGTGTTTATACCCAAACATGTAAATTTGCATATATATCATTAAAATAGATTATTTTAAATACAAAAAATACAGTATGTATGTGTATACATTCTTATAATGGCATCTCCATGTATGTGTATACATACTGTATTTTGGTATTTAAAATAATATACGTATGATAAGGCTTTCCTATTTTGCTGTTCTGTTTAATTCAAATGATATAAGTTTATGTTAATCTCAGTTCAGAAGTTGTTCTTTGCTTGACCTAATATCTATTGTTACTGTTTTTCCTAACCTTTTACTTCATTAGTCACTTATTCTTGGTGTTGTCATCTATTGCTCAAAATGGAAAGAATTTCGTTGCATTTTGGGCTGTATAAGGCCATGTGTCTGGAAATGTCTGGAAGTCTTGATGTGTTCCATGTGATGCACTATAAAGTTTTAATCAAAGGACATTATTTTAGTATAGATCTTGTTTGTGCTTATAGCGGTGGGGCCTGCTGCTGTAAGTCTGTGCTTCTCCAACTGCATGAGTTATCTTGTGTACCTCTGATGCCTCAGTAGACTACCCCCATGTAGGTGATAACATATCTTGAATCCCCACATAGATGGAATAATAATGGCCATATTGAATACTCATGTAGTACTTTAGAATTCACAAAGTGATTTTATTTACATTGTTATAATGTTATCTCTATCACAGGATTATTATACCCTTCTTACAGTTGAAACTGAAGAGGTTATTTCCTACATCAAACAGTAGACAACTTGAACCTGAGCCTTTCATGTCCCTGTGGTCATTCCATTAAATCATGCCTCTCTTTGTGTGGGTAAAGGTGATGGGTAGCTCATTCTTGCTTTCTAGTGTTACAGATTTTTTACTTTTATTTCTTTATGTATTTGAGTTCTCAGTAGTCTTCAATCTCTTGCTGACCGGAACTCCCATCCAGAACAGCCTCCAAGAACTCTACTCCCTCCTCAGTTTTGTGGAGCCTGATGTCTTTTCCAAGGAGCAGGTGGAAGATTTTGTTCAGCGTTACCAGAATATTGAGAAAGAGGCTGAGTCAGGCAAGTGGCCTTGTGACAAATTGTTCCCAAGACGTCTGGACCCAGAAACAGCCCTAGTGCAAATAGATAGTGGTTATAGATAGAAAAGAAAGAATCAATAACCAGAGGATACCTCCCAGGAAGATAAAGAAGCCACACAAAAATCATAAGATGGTAGATCTCTGATTTTGTCTCCAGTTGTCTGTTATTCATGACTCTCTTATTTGTTACATGATTCTATAATAGGGCTTCCTTGGATCATTTTTGCAAGAAATAGAAAGTGCTGATTTTTATTTTTAAAATGTAATTTCTATAAGGATTTCATTAACTTTCTATGCAACTTTCTGAGGCAGAAAAGTGTGTGGGTGCTATAGCCCCAAACTGCCTTCAGCATTCCACAGCACTGGCACTCCTTATAACCCTGCACCAAACCAAAAGTCTGGGATGGATGTGGGGTGGAAGTGAAGGAGGGAAGCCTTTCTCATTCATACAGTTGTCGGTTGAAGGCTTCTTCCTCTCACATCTTTGCACCTCTGCCTCATAGAGTTATCTATACATCCCTGTAATATTATCCCAGGCTGATTATTCAGAACAAATGGTAGGCATTCTACTAGTGGGTATGAATGGACTTGGTGAATACCAATTGGAAGGGCTTCTTATACAAAAACCCCCACACCTCAGGCTGAAGATTCCTTGGGGAACCTTCTCTGATTGCTCACGTGTTTAGGGTTGCCAGAAAAATATATGACACCTAGTCAAATAATACATGGGACATATTTGTATTAAAAAATTATTCGGCCCTGGCCTGTTTGGCTCAGTGGTTAGAGTGTTGGCCTGCGATCCAAAGAGACCCGGGTTCGGTTCCCGCTAAGGGCACGTACTTCAGTTGCAGTTTGTCCCCGGCCCTGGTTGGGTCATGCAGGTGGCAGCCACTCGATGTGTCCCTTCACGTCGATGTTTCTGTCTCTCTCTCTCTTCCTCTCTCTCCCTCCTGCTCTATCTGAACAAAAAATGGAAAAATGTCCTTGGGTGTGGATAAAAAAAGGAAAAATAAATTATTTGTTGTTTACCTGAAATTCACATTTAACTGGATTCATGTATTTTTATTTGCTTTCTATGGCCACTGTACATGCAGTGTAATTCCAGTTTTGGCTAGTTTTTGAAGTTTACCATACTTAGGGGAGAAATGAAGGAGTTTGAGTCAGAGGAACTAAGTTTGAATGCTAGCAACAGTAGCATTTAGCTAAGTGACTTTGGATAGGGTGCTTAATTTTTCTGAGCCTCACTCTGCTCTAAAAATGGGCACAATATTAACTTTCTTGCCCTACATTTCTAAGGTTTTTTTTCCCCCTTTATTGATTTTAGACAGAGAAGAAGGGGGAGAGAGAGCGATAGAAACGTTGATGAGAGAGAACATTGATCAGCTGCCTCCTGCATGCCCCCTACTGGCTCACAACCTGGGCATGTGCCCTGACCGGTAATCAAACCGGCGACCTCTTGGTGCATAGGTTTATGCTTAACCACTGAGCCACACTGGCCGGACTAAGGTATTATGTTTACTAATGAGATTACTAGTAAGAATCAAGTTCTTTTGAGTATTACTAATTCTTGAATTAAGAGCTACTAATGATTTCAGAAGGAATTAGAAAGAACCCAATGAAGGAAGAAGCACTGAAAAATTACCATATTGGCCTAGAATGCAGAATTGTCATGAAAATGAGAAACAAATCGCTGTATGTTCTCTAGTAGTTGTTTTTACTTCCTTCTCACACTTGTATATTTTTTTTCTTACACAGCAAGTGAACTACACAGACTCTTGCAGCCATTTCTGCTGAGGCGAGTGAAATCTGAGGTAGCTGCTGAGCTTCCCAGGAAGACAGAAGTAGTGATATACCATGGCATGTCAGCACTGCAGAAAAAATACTACAAGGCCATTTTGATGAAAGACCTAGGTAATCAGAGGGCACTTGTTTATTTGGAAACTAAATGAGGATGTGGTCTTCATGCAAGGAAATATTTTATAACTATACTCACTTTTGAGAACAAGACTATGGGATGGAATTTATATTCTGAATACATTCAGAATGTTATGAAACTGGCTGAGTATCTTTAACATAAATATGAATTCAGACTTTATTGGCTGTTGCAGTTTTGACATTTCCTCCCCCTGTGCCTCTACACTCAGTTTTCCTTATTTCCTATAGTTAAGCAAATACTTCTAGGTCTCCAGCCATGCCTTTCATTTTTCCCACCCTGTTAGATACTTACATTTCAAAATGTTTATGTTGAATCAAATTCACTGAGAGGAATTGGGTGTAAAAGAGAGAGGAGTGGAATGATATCTCAGTTTGTATTTTTTGTCCCTTGGCTCCAGAGTAGCAGTTAAAGAAATTTAGAATTTACCAAAGTATAACAAAGTACTCCTGAGTTCAATTTATAGTTAGTGTCCTTCTTAAAACAAAGTGATGATTAAGGAAACTTCCTATGGATGTGCTGTTAATTCTTAATGCAGGCCAATAAAATTTAGGGGCTTAATATAGGTTTTAAAGATTTATTATTAATACAAATAAGATTATTTATGGAAACTTGGTTTCTTTTTTGTTCAGTAGTCCACCTTTCTTTCTCTCTTTTTAAATTTCAGATGCATTTGAAAATGAGATGGCAAAGAAAGTTAAACTTCAGAATGTCTTGTCCCAGCTTCGGAAGTGTGTGGATCACCCATATTTGTTTGATGGTAAGGCAGTGCTTTTTCTCACATTACTTTTTGTTAACATTTTTGTGGCCAGTGTGATAGCAAAATTTTTCAAAAGAATTGCCTGAATTTACTGTCTATTTTTTTTCCATTTTATTAATATTTTTATGTTGATGTTTTCTAATATATTGATCATATTCAAGTTTCTTTAGTTGTCCTCTATAATGTCCCTTATAGCTGTTTTTCTTTTTCTTTTTTATTGACAATCCTCATCCAAAGACATTTTCCATTGATTTTTATAGATAGAGTGGAAGGGATGGAGAGGTGGGGAGAGAGAGAGAGAGAGAGAGAAAGAGAGAGAGAGAAACATTGATGTGAGAGAGAGATATTGATTGGTTGCTTCCAACAGAACCATGACTAGGGCCGGGGATCGAACCTGAAACCCAGGTACATGCCCTTGACCAGGAATCGAACTGGAGACCCTTTGGTCTGAGGGCCGATGTTATAATCACTGAGCCAAACTGGCCAAGGGCTCTTTATTCTTTTTATTTATTTATTTATTTTTAATCCTCACCCGAGGATATTTTTCCATTTTTTGCACAGATAGAGTGGGAGGGAGAGAGAGGAAGGGAAAGAGAGAGAGAAACATCGACGTGAAGGGACACATCGAGTGGCTGCCACCCGCACAACCAACCAGGGCCGGGGACAAACTGCAACCGAAGTACGTGCCCTTAGCGGGAACCGAACCCGGGTCTCTCCGGACCGCAGGCCGACGCTCTAACCGCTGAGCCAAACCGGCCAGGGCTCTTTATTCTTTTTAAATTCAAGATCCAGTCATAGGTCCTGCTCGCATTTGTCATGTCTCTTTATTTTCCTGTAATTTAGAAACATCTCTCACCTTTTTTTGCCCTTTCTTGTCTTTCATGAAATTGACAGTTTTAGAGAATCAAGGCTGTTTGTTTTGGGGGATGTCTTATAATCTGGATTTATCTAATCATTGCTATATAATAAGATGTCCCTTTGTCTTGAACCCACTCAACCTTTCACTGCTGTTGTTCCTAGTAGTTCACCAGTGCTCTCCATGTTGCCATCAGTGGTTGACAATTCACACTTTAATTAGTGTCTCAAAACCTTTGACACAATTGATCACTTCTTTCTTTTTTATCCTAATTTTTGTTCAGATAGAGTGGGAAGGAGAGAGAGAGAAACATCGACGTGAAAGGGACACATTGAGTGGCTGCCACCCGCACGACCAACCAGGGCCAGGGACAAACCATAACCAATGTACATGCCCTTAGCGGGAACCGAACCCGGGTCTCTGTGGACCGCAGGCTGATGGCCTAACCGCTGAGCCAAACCAGCCAGGGCTGATCACTTCTTTCTTATTCTTCACTTGGCTTTTTGGACTTCCTCTTCACCTGTCGTATCTATTCCTTCTCAGCTTCTTTTGCTATTTTCCCTTCTTTTATGGATGTCTGTCAGTTCCCTCTAAGTGCTACTTTAGCTGCATTCTATACATTCTGATATGTAATGTTTTCATTTTCATTCAAACTCTTTCTTTTTTTTTTAATTCACTCTGATAGGTAGCCTTTGGGACAGTTCCAGGACTTCTGTGGCTGTGGGGGCTCTAGTGTTGATAGGAACAATATGGAAGGTTTGCCGCAGTCATTTTAAGAGAGTCTTTGCCAAGTAGTACTATGAATTGTTTTAAAATGTCACATCATCTTTTTTTTTTTTTTTTTTTTTATCCTCACCCGAGGACATTTTTCCATTTTTTGTTCAGATAGAGTAGAAGGAAGAGAGAGAGAGAGAAACATCGATGTGAAGGGACACATCGAGTGACTGCCACCCGCACGACCAACCAGGGCCGGGGACAAACTGCAACCGAGGTACATGCCCTTTGCGGGAACCGAACCCGGGTCTCTCTGTACCGCAGGCCGATGCTCCAACCGCTGAGCCAAACCGGCCAGGGCAACATCATCTTAAATAGGTACATATCAGAACTTTTTTTTTTCCAGGGAGGGGGAATGTACATTTTGAAAGAAGCCCTCCAGATTAGTCTGACTGGCGTCCTCCACCTTGAGAATTACTAGAGCATATGCCTAAGCCTGTTTCTCGATTTGTTTTCTAGAATGAAAGCCTCAAGATATCAATTTTGAGTCTCTTTGGCCTTTAGCATCTCCCTGCGCCTAAGTTTCCTAGAGTTGGTTTGTTCCTTGGATAAACATTTATTAGGCATATTGTATGTGTCAGGCTCTGTGATTGATGATAAGCAGCACTGAAATTATCAGGCAAACAAACAATTATAAATTGACTCATGGAGAAATGTGACTTGGACCCATGAACAATTAGAAGGAGCTGGGCCTCTTGCTATAGTCTAGCCATGGGCTTCTCTATTCATGGAATCTGGCCTGACTAGGGACACACTATTGAAAGTGGGTTCTTGTCCAGGTGTGGAACCAGAGCCTTTTGAAATTGGAGACCACCTGATTGAGGCCAGTGGAAAACTTCATCTGCTGGATAAGCTGCTGGCATACCTGTATTCCAGGTAGGTGGTAGGCTCACATTTTGTGCTCTGAGCTGGTGCCTGTTAAAACCTGTATAATCAGGAACTCACTGATTTCTTGAGACTAATTCTAGTTTTCCATTTTTCAAGACCCTGATTCAGGTTCTACCTGTGCAACTACACCTCCCACCCCCCCATTCCTTCCCTTCCCATCCCATCCCGACCCCTCCATAATCATCCTTTCCTTTTCTGAATTACTACAGCTCTTAGGATCCTAATCTAGCACTTGGCCATGCACTGCCTTAATATGCTATCTGGTTAATTGGTATAAATTAACCAAATCACTCAAGCTGTATTGTTTAGTTCCACAGGGACAGAGATAACATCAAGCATTACTTTTTTAATTGCCTGTTGGTACCTTCTATTGAATAGGCACATAATAAGAGCTTAGTAAATATTTGCTTTTGTTAACCTGCGATGTTTGGGTTTTAACTTAGGAAGAACATGGGAGACTCACTCTCAGAGGTATGAGTTGGGCCTTGGAAGACCAAGTCACTTCTGCAACCTCTAAAGGTTAAGCTAAGTGTTCAGTAGTAGCCTGGTGTCCAGCCTGTACCTGCTCCTCCTAGTCCCCAGAGGGACAGAGTAGTCTAGAGAAGTCCTAGCTTTCAAAGAATTTTAAAGTTGTCCCTTGGAACAACTGTCCCAAGTGGGCCTGAACCAACCTGAAACTTCAGATTGGCAAAAGCACCCAATATTAGGAATGTGCTAGTCAAATGATCGCATGTCTTACTATGTTTTATTGGCTTTGATATATCTACTATAAGTGTGTTAGAGTCGGAGAAGGACCATAAATGTCTTTTCTTTAAGCATTTTATTTCACAGGTTTTGAAACGGATCCAGAGAGGTTATATGACTTTTCTAAGGTCAGACAGCCAACAATTGGTAGAGATGGGATTAGAATTGAGGTCCTCAACTCTAAGTTTAATATCTTTTCATATTTAGAGCTAGAATCTTGAAGGAATTCTTTATAATTCTTCCTGTTATACCCATTGTAAGCTCAGATTAAATTAGTTTTTCTAATGAGAATATTGTTTTGAAAGTGTCATTGTTTATGACAACTTAAAATAACAACTGATAACATGGGGCTCTAGGCTTGAGTTCATTCTTGACTTAATCCGTTTTTGCCTCCTCCTCTCCTAACTCCTCTTTCTGTACATAAGCTTTCTCATGCATCATATGGGAATCGCCTGCCCCTTGCTTCTCTAAAGTAATGCTTCACAGAATTTTCAACCAGCATAGTTGTAGAAGAGAGGATAAGGACTTTACACCCCTAAGTAGAGAATAGCTGTAGATGGATGACCACAATCTCTTCAGGGTTTTCAGGTTTTTAGTGATTTTTTTTTTTTTTTGATGTATCTCAATTTTGCATTTTACTCTTCATAGATGTTTATTTATTTGCTGTTAAAATAAAAAATTTCTTCCCGTTTGGTAAATTGATATTAGAGAGAGTGGCACATTGGTTATCCTAGGGCTTCATGCACTCCGTGGTGTACTGGTGCATGCCCCTGGGAATATTACCACTGCTTTGAGAACTTCTGCTCTGAAGGATACAGCTACATTTGGACCTATGTCCTTACATAAGGCATTTAGCACTTCTGAGGAAGTTGCTATAAATGATTATGACATTCGTATTTCTGGTTCAGTATTTCATTTATTTATAAACTTGCATTCTTTGGTAAGTTTCACCTAAAACTTTTCTTTTTCTTTCCAGGGGCCATCGAGTTTTACTGTTCTCCCAGATGACCCATATGTTGGATATTCTCCAAGACTACATGGATTATAGAGGTGACATTCTTTGGTCACTACATTTCTCCAGCCGTTTTTAGACTTAACAGTGCAGATAGGTTTATGAAGAGTAATCTAGGGTGTGGGGATGTTATAGAGGAAAGCAGTAAAAGAACATCACTCAGACCAGAAGAAGATTGAAAGTATGAGAGAAGTATGTGATGCAAGGATTGACAGCAGAGTGGAGATACGTGGGCAGAAATAAACACATATTCCCATTGGTGATGTGATTTAAAAATATGGGTACTGGAGAAAATGTGTATTGTAGAAATGAGAATTTTTGCAAATGTGTGAGAAAAAGCTTTAGTGAAAGGAGCTGTCAGTGCCTTGCAACATTCAACTCAATAGTTGAGTACCTGTTCAGGGTCAGTAGAAAAGATGAATACTGAAATTATAGAGATCCCACATATCAATCAAGAAAAAGGTAAATGAAATTCTTTTCTATATAGACAATAAGGAATTTAAGTTATTACCTGGGACTCTGTTTAATATATAATAAAACTTATGTAGGATGATGGAAAAAGGCTGTAATATTGGTTGATTTTGGGATTAGTGGTGACGTAACTGCTCTAGACATTCCTATTTAAGAAATGAACTTGAGGGACACAGCAAAAGCAGTCCTGAGAGGGAAGTTCATAGCAATACAGGCTTACCTCAAGAAACAAAAAACATTTCTAATGAACTGTTTAACTCTACCACTTAAAGAATTAGAGAACAAAAAGGAAAAACCCAGAGTTAGTAGAAGGAAGGACATCAGAAAGATCAGAGCAGAAATAAATGACATGGAGACTGAATAAACAATACAAAAGACTGATGAAATCAAGAGCTGGTTCTTTGAAAAGATAGACATGATTGATCAACCTTTAGCCAGACTCACAAAGAAACAGAGAGAGGACACAAATTAATAAAATCAGAAATGAAAGAGATGAAGTAACAACTGACACCACAGAAATACAAAGGATCATAAGAAAACACTATGAACAATTATGTGCCAACAAATTGAACAACCTAGGTGAAATATACAAATTCCTAGAATCAAACAGTCTTCCAGAACTCAGAAGAGTCAGAAAACCTGAACAGACCAATAACAACTAAGGAAATAGAAGCAGTAATCAGTAAACTTCCAGCAAACAAAAGCCCTGGTCCGGATGGCTTCACAGGGGAGTTTTACCAGACATTCAAAGAAGAACTAACACCTATTCTCCTCAAACTATTCCAAAATATTTAACGGGAATGAAGACTTTCAAGCTTTCCTTATGTGGCCAGCATAATCCTAATTCCAAAATCAGATAAAGACACTACAGAGAAAGAAAATTATAGGTCAGTATCCCTGATGAACCTAGATGCCAAAATCCTCAACAAAATAGTACCAAATTGGATCCAGCAATATATTAAAAAAATTATACACCACAACCAAGTGGAACTTATTCCAGGGATGCAAGGCTGGTACAATATTTGCAAATCAATAAATATGATACACCACATAAACAAAATGAAAGATAGAAATCATATGATCATATGAATAGATGCTGAAAAAGCATTTGACAAAACCCAGAACCCATTTTTGACAACAACTCTCAACAAAATGGGAATAGAAGAATCATACCTCAACATAATAAAGACCAATTATGTCAGATCTACAGCTAGCATCATACTTAATGGGCAAAAGCTAACAGCATTTTCCTTAACAGGAACAAGACAGGGATGTCCGCTTTCACCACTCTTATTCAACATAGTACTGGAAGTCTTAGCCACAGCAATCATACAAGAAAAAAAAATAAAAGGCATCCAAATTGGAAAAGAGGAAGTGAAACTGTCATTGTTCACAGATGATGATAGTGTATGTAGAAAACTCTAAAGACTCCACCAAAAAAAGTACTAGATTTAATCAATGAATTTGGTTAAGTAGCAGGATACAAAGTCAACATCCAGAAATCATTGGCTTTTTAATAAAAGTTTTTTTTTTTAATCCTCACCTGAGGACTTTTTTTTTTTTTTTGCATTTATCTTGAGATAGAGTGGGAGGGGGAGAGGGAGGAAGAAAGAGAGAAACATCGACGTGAGAGTGACACATCAAGTGACTGCCACCCACACGACCCCAACTGGGCCCGGGAATAAACTGCAACCGAGGTACATGCCCTTAGCGGGAACCGAACCCGGGACTTTCTGGTCCATAGGCCAATGCTCTAACTGCTGAGCCAAACTGGCCAGGGCCATTGGCATTTTTATACACCAATAATGAACACACACAATGAGAAACTAAAAAAAAAAAAAAAAAAAATCCCATTTACCATGGCAACAACAAAAAAATAAGGAATAAACTTAACTAAGGAGGTAAATGACCTGTTCTCAGAAAACTACATAACATTGAAGAAATAGAGGAAGATATAAAAAAGTGGAAGCATATACCATGGCTCATTTATTGGAAGAGTCAACATAATTAAAATGTCCATACTACCCAAAGCAATTTATAGATTCAGTGCAGTCCCTATTAAAATACCAATGGCATGTTTCACAGATCTAGAACAAATACTCCAAAAGTTTGTGTGGAATTATAAAAGACCGTGAATAGCCACAGCAGTCTTGAAGACGAACAAAGTTGGAGGGAATCACAATTTTGGATATCAGCTTATACTACAAAGTTATTGTAATCAAAACAGCCTGGCACAAGAACAGGTATATAGATCAATGGAAAAGAACAGAGAACCCTGAAATTTACCCGAACTGTTAGGCTCAATTAATATTTGACAAAGGAGGAAAGAGCTTACAAGGGAGTAAAGACAGTCTCGTCATTATAGTGTTGGGAATATTGAACTGGTACATGCAAAAAATGAAACTAGACCATCAAATTGTACCATACACAAGAATAAACTCAAAATGGATAAAAGACTGAAATGTAAGTCTTGAAACCATAAAAATCCTACAAGAAAATGTAGGCAGCAAATTCTAAGACATCACATATAGCAGAATTTTCACCAATACATTGCCTAGGGCAAGAGAAACAAAGAAAACATTAATAAATGTGACTACATCAACCTAAAAAGCTTCTACACAGCAAAGGAAGCCGGCATCAAAATTTAAAGGGAACCCACTGTATATGGGAAAACATATTTGCCAATGATACATTGGATAAGGGGTTAATTTCCAAAATATGTAGAGAACTCATGTGACTCAACAAAAGGAAGACAATCCAATTAAAAATGGGCAGAGGACCTGAACAGACACTTCTCCAAAGAGGGCTGAGACATGAAAAAATGCTCAATGTCACTAGTCATCAGAGAGATGCAAATTAAAACAGCTGTGAGATACCATCTCATACCTGCCAGAATGGCTACCATCAACACATCATCAAACAAGTGCTGGTGAGAATGGGGAGAAAAGGGTACTCTAGTGCACTCCTTGTGGGAATGCAGACTGGTGCAGCCACTATGGAAAACAGTATAGAGTTTCCTCAAAAAATTAACAATGGAACTGACATTTGACCCAGTGATTCCACTTCTAGCAATATATCTTAAGAAGCCTGAAACACCAATCAAAGAACATATGCTCCCCTATGTTCATAGCAGCACTATTTGCAATAGCTAAGGCCTGAAAACAGCTTAAGTGTCCATCAATAGATGAGTGGATAAAAAATCTGTGGCACATTTACACAATGGAATACTGTGCAGCTGTAAGAAGATCTCTTACCCTTTTAGATGACATGGAGGGACCTGGAGAGTATTATGATAAGTGAAATAAACCAATCAGATAAAAATAAATATCACATGATCTCACTTATTTGAGGAATATAAAATAAGCTGATAAACAAAATAGATCCAGAGACATGGAAGTAGAGAACAGACTGACAAACCTCAGAGGGAAGTGGGTGGGGGGGCTGAGAAGAGATAATCCAAAGAACTTAGCATATTTGCATAACTAATGGACACAGACAACAGTGCAGTGAAGGTGGGGTGGGTGCGATGGAAGTGGATAGGAGGGTGTCAGTGGGGGGGAAAGGTAGGGACATCTATAATAGACAAATCCTCCCACAACCAAATTAAAATGACAACTAAACTACAGAACAACCATTATTACTGTCCAAAATCTAGCTGAATGGAAGTCCTGCAACTAGAGATTTAAAGAAGCCACATCAAGACTGGTAGGAGGGGCGGAGACTCAGAACGGGCTGATCCCACACTCACCTATGGCAGTTTAAAATCAGGTGCTGCTGCACAGGAGCTGAGAGGTCCCCCTTGAGGAATGAGGGGACCCAGCCCCACTTTGGGCCTCCCAGCTTAGGTTTCCAGAGCCAGGAAGTTGGCTGTAAAAACCAGCAGGAATTGTGGCTGAGTATGGCAGAGCGCTACTGGAGTCCCAAGCAGTTCCTCTAAAAGGGCCCATTCATAGAATTACTTGAACTCACTTACTCTGAGCTCCAACACTGGGGCTGAGGCTTTGAAGGAACCAGGGACATGGGGAAGAATTGAATTATTCTAGCATCAGTGCACAAGCTGGGGGGCTGGGGCGGGGGAGGCAGTTTTCTGCCACTTAAAAGCACTAGCAGAGGTCATTGTTCCTTTTCTGAGACCATGTCCACAGAGCTGGCAGGTGGGCACGATATATGAATCTCCAACTTGGCTCATAGTGTTCTCCCTGTTCTGGTGATTACCCAAAACCCTGCTCCACCCAACTTGCAGGCCCACCCAGGCTGTTTCCAGTGGCATTTCCATACAAATGGCCTTTCTTGCCTCATACTTTAGATGCTCCTAAAATCTCTCAAACAAGCAGTATCTGGCCTCTACTTACCCCATACTCTTGCTGAGTGGCCTCAGACTCGATACTAGTGGCAACTGGCCTTGGTTCACAGCTTTATTTCTCCTGGCATCCCCAAGTCAAGCACAAGTAGCAGCTATCTGCAGATCACTCTGTAGATTGTTCTGGGTGGCCCCATGCAAGGCACAGATGGTAGCTGATCTTGCACCTCCTAGGATAGCCTGGTAGACAGCTTCAGATAACACTGGTTTACAACCCTACTGCCTCCAAGAGCAGCACACGCAAGGGGAAAACTTGGTGAGCACCAAAGCCACACTGAAGCAAGTCGTGCTTTATAGGGTTGACTCCTGTGCAGCAGCTCCTGTGTTGTAGTTGGAGCTAGTCCTCACATCCAGTTGGCCTGGGTATCAATCCTACCCAGTAATGCCAACAGCAATCAAGGCTGAATTACAACAGGACAGCCCACATCTGTAGTGCCCAGCTTGGGCGACTGGGAAGCTTTACCACTGGGTCCTACAGGACACCTACTATACAAGGGCACTCTATCAAGTTCAGGAGACATAGCAGCTCTACCTATTACATAGTAAAAAACCTAGGGTAGCAGGTAAAATGCGAAGACAAAGAAATAGGTCCCCAATGAAAGAACAGGATTCATCTCCAGAAAATGAATAAATGAAATGGAGGCAAGCAAACTACCAGTTACAGAATTTTTAAAAAAAGGGTTATAAGAATCCTTAAGGAACTTACTGAGAACTTCAACAGCATTAAAAAGGATATAGAAATCATAAAAAAGAACCAGTCAGAAATGAAGTATACATTAACTGAAATAAAGATTATATTACAACACCCTGGCCAGGTGGCTCAGTTCGTTGGATCGTCATCCCTTGCACCAAAAAGTTGTGGGTTTGATTACTGGTCAGGGCACATACCTAGGTTGCAGGTTCCATCCTCAATTGGGGTGTGTGTGGGAGGCAACTGATCAGTGTTTCCTTATCATGTTGAAGTTTCTCTCCCTCCCTTCCCCCCTCTTTTTCTCCCTTCCTCTAATGAAGATATCCTCAGATTAAAATAAAGAATATATTACAGGGAACTAATAGTAGAGTAAATGAAGCGGAGAATCAAATCAACAAATTAGAATATAAGGAAGCATAAAACACCCAATTAGAACAACAAAAAGAAAAAAGAATTCAAAAAAATTAAGATAGTGCAAGGACCCTCTGGAATAACTTCAAGCATATCAACATTCACATTATTGGGGTGCTGGGAGAAAAGAGAGAGCAAGAAATTGAAAACATTAAAAAATAGTGACAGAAAACTGGTGAAGGAAATAGACATAGAAGTGCAGGAAACACAAGGAGTCCCAAACAAGATGAACCCAAAGAGGCCCACACCAAGACACATTATAATTAAAACGCAAATGGGCCCTGGCCAGTGTAGCTCGGTGGTTAGAGCATCGGCCTGCACACTGAAGGGTCATGGGTTCAATTCCCGGTCAAGGGCATGTACCTGGGTTGCAAGTTTGATTCCCAGCCCCAGTCAAGGCATGTGCAGGAGGCAACCAACTGATGTCTCACATCTATGTTTCTCTCTTTCTCTCTCATTTTCTTCCTCCCTCCCTCTCTTCCTCTTCTCTCCCCACCTCGTTTCCACTCTCTAAAAATGCAATGGAAAAAACATCCTCAGTGAGGACTAACAAAAATATACCAAAGGTTAAAGAAAAATAATCTTAAAAGCAGCAAGAGAAGAGCAGTTAGTTACTTACAAGGGACCTCCCATAAGACTGTCAGCTGGTTTCTCAACAGAAATTTTTCAGGGCAAAAGGAAGTGGCAAGAAATATTCAAAGTGATGAAAAGCAAGGACCTACAGTCAAGATTATTCTACCCAGCAAGGCTATCATTTAGAATTGAAGGACACATAAAGAGCTTCCCAGCCAAGAAGAATTGCTAAAGGAGTTCATCACCACCAAACCAATGTTACATAAAATGTTAAAGGGTCTTTAAGAAGAAGAAGGAAAAGATTAAAAATTAAACATTAAAATGGCAATGAGTACATATCTATCAACAACTGAATCTAGAAAAACACAAAATAAATGAACAAGTAGAACAGAAACAGACTCATAGATACAGAGAACATTTTGACAGTACTGGATGAGAGGTGGGGTAGGGAAGGTGGGTGAAAAAGGTGAAGGGATTAAGAAGTACAAATTGGTTGTTACAGAATAGTCATGGAGATGTAAAGTAAGACATAAGGAGTATAGTCAGTGATAGTCTAATAACTATGCATGGTGTCAGATGGGTACAAGACTTATCAGGATGATTACTTCTTAAGTCATATAATATCTAATCACTGGGATGTACACCTTAAAATAATATTGTATGTCAACTGTAATTGAAAAAATAAAAAAGATTAAAAAGAAGTAAACTCATAGACAGCCTCCCAGAGTCACTTGATGTCCCCCAGGTACTGTAACCTGGTCCAGTGGACATTTGCAGGAAATGCCATTGGCACACTGACAAATTCTCAGATTTACAAACATGGCTTGAGCATATAATTCCCCTTCCCAACATGGGTCTGTAGTGAAGCTTGAAACCATTAGGCAGGCTCACTCAACAGTTCCCAAGTGTTTGTCTTACTGCCTGCATAAGAATTATTTCTTAGCAACTATGGAAACTGGCACACAGCATGCTCTACAGTTTGCTTTAGGGTTGCTTGGGATACTCAGGATTAAATATTAAGTCTAGGAATGTCAAGTACATCAACTGTACGTATTTAAAAAAAACAGAGTAGTACATTATGATAAGTTCTTTGGTAAAACAATAACATGATCCCTAAATTTAGAATTTGCCTGTGGCATTTGCATAAAGTAGGGGCATGCTTGTATATGGAAGGGGACAAAATTAGCATTTGGTTTTCAGTTGACAATGTTTTATTCTGCATAGAGTATTTGAAAAGAATTAGTATTTGTTTTTTCATGTGTGAAGGCTACAGCTATGAGCGTGTAGATGGTTCCGTGAGAGGAGAAGAGAGACACCTGGCCATTAAGAACTTTGGACAGCAGCCCATTTTTATATTTCTTCTGAGTACCAGAGCAGGTAAGTCACGTAGATATTGACAAAAGCAAAGGGGTGGATACAGGACTTTTACATTTCAACACTTAGTTTGTTTTTCCTTATTTCTCTGAAAGTTGAGGTCAATACCAAGGAGTATAAATACAGGGGATTTAGGTAGTTGCCTTAAGTTTATCAAGATACTGGATTTCTGGCATGGTATTCTTTTATAGCTGTCATCTCATCAAAGAAGTAAGGTTGAATCCTGGGGTCATTGGAAAGTAATTCTAATCTGCTTTATCCATTGACCTGGGATTGTCCCAGATTTCAATGATTTTGTGAAAAGTTTTCTTCATAATTCAGTAGAGGTAGCTCTCCTTCCCAGTCATGAACTTGTGAAATGAAGTAAGAACCTGTCCATTACTTACCCGTTTTCCATAAGTAGCTCTGGAATAATATAACAGGTTAATAAAAATCTAGTTTATTTATTTATTTTTCTTTTTAATTGGGATTATGGGGATCGAGGATGGCTGCAGAGAAGATGGCAGCTACACTTATCTCCTCCCAGTGCTAAATTGTACAGTTCTCAAGCAGGGCCATTTATCCACCCACTGTGCACCACTGGTGCTGCTCCACCAGGAGGAGACCCATTAGCTTCTTCTGAGTCCTAGTGGTACCACCATGCTGAACTCATGTCCTGCAGGAAAGTTTGTCAGCTGCAATTAGCCAGGACATTTGGTTTGCTTTTTTCCCTCAAGCTCTTATCAGGAACTCATAGGGACACTGAATTATATGGCTCTGAATGGGGACCATTTCCCCCACCCCCACATATGCCACTGGTGCTGTCCCCCAACAAGAGACCCACTAGCCCCATCCATCCAACTCCTGGTGGCCCCATGCTGCTGAGCTCACATCCTGTAGAAGAGTCTCCTGGCTACACCCAGCCTGGACCTGTGGTGTGCTTTTTCTTGGGAAGCTCTTATTGGAGACTCAGTCACTGAGTTGTATGGCTCCAGAGTAGGGACCATTCCTCCTCATTCATGCCTCCTGATCACTGGTGGCCCCACCCTGCCAAGCTCACACCCTGCAGAAGTGTCTGCTGGCTGCACCCAGCCTGGACCTGTGGTGCTCTCTTTCTTGGGAAGCTCTGATTGAAGACTCAGGCAGAGACTGAGTGGTGAGGCTCTAGAGTAGGGGCCACTCTTGCTGCTCCCTTTTTCCCCAGCACCTGGCCAATGCCATCTCCAAATGGGAGATCCGCTAGCCCTGTCCTGATCCCTGGTTTTCCTGTCCTGTGCAGCTCACACCTTGTGGAAGAGACTGGGCTACAACCAACTTGGACCCACTCCACAGTCTTTGTTGAGAAGGCTTTTGAGGAAATCCAGGCAGCCTCGGGCCTTTTACTGACCTGCACCTGGGCTCAGAGCTGGTGGAAGCCAAACTCGGTACACAGTATGGCCCCTCTCACATGTACCCAGGCCCAGCAGAGGTAGTCACAAACTGCAGATTCCTTGGCAGCTCCAAACAGGTAGCCCAAGACCAATTACAGGCAGTGTCTGACATTTACCTGCACCAGAGTCCCTCCCAAGAGGATCTAGAACCAACACAACTAGTGGTGGGCTTCAGACAATACCAGAACATGACCCAAATAGCCACACAAGTGGCACACTCAAAGGGAGATCCTGGCAGGCACCAGACCCTGCTGAGGCCAACTCTGCTATGGTGGGCAGTCCCTGTACAGTGACTAATATACGCTATGGTAAGGATCAATACCATAGCCAGCCTGAGGGACAACCTCACTCATGGACAGGCCAACAGCTATCAAGACAACTACAATAGGAAGGCTCACATAACCCACACAACGGATACTCCTGGAGCACTTTGCTCAGGTGATCAGGAAGATTGTGCTACTGAGCTCAACAAGACACCTATTACATAAGATCACCATACCAAGATTGTAAGGCATAACAGATATACCTAATACACGGACAAATAAAAAAAGGCAGATGACATGGGAGACAAAGAAACATGCCCCAATGAAAGAACAAGAGAAATTCCAGAAAAAGAACTAATTGAAATGGAGACAACCAAGCTACCAGATGCAGTGTCAAAACAATGCTTATAAGGATGCTCAAGGAACTCAGGGAAAGAATGGATGAACTCGGTGAGAGCTTAAACAGAGAGGTATTAAGCATTAGAAAGGACACAGAAACCATAAAAAAGAGTCCGAAATGAAGAATACAATATCTGAAACGAAGACTACACTGAAAAGACTGAACAGCAGGTTAGATGAAGCAAAGGATCAAATTAGCAATTTAGAGGAAAAGATAACAGAAAACACCTATGGAGAACAGGAAGAAGAAAAAATAATGTTTTAAAAAATGAAGAAAGTCTGGGGGACCTCTGGGACAAGATCAAGCCTAATAACATCTGTATCATATGGGTACCAGAAGGAGAAGAGAGAGAGAGAGCAAAGGATTCAGAAACTATTTGAAGAAATAATGGCTGAAAACCTCCCTAACTTTGGTGAAGGAAAAAGACACACCTGTCCAGGAACACAGAGTCACAAAACAGATGAACCCAAGAGGCCCACACGAAAACAACATGATTAAAATGGCAGATGTTATAGACAAAGATGGAATCTTAAGAGCAGCAAGATAAAAGCTAATAAACAGCTACGAGGGAGTTCCTGTAAGACTGTCAACTGATTTCTCAGCAGAGGCACTTCAAGGCAGAAGGGATTGGCGTTAAAAATTCAAAGTGATGAAAAGAAAGGATCTGCAACCAAGACTACTCAGCAAAGCTATCATTTACAATCGAATATGAAATAAAGAGCTTCCCAGACAAGAAAAAGCTAAAGGAGTTTGTTACCACCAAATCAGTCTCACAATAAACGTTAAAGGCTCTTCTTGAAGAAGGTGAAGGGGCCAGGGAAGGGGAGGAAGAGGAAAGAAGAAGAAAGGAAAAAAGAACAAAGTTATAAAGACTAAAATGGTAATAAATATATACTTATCAATAATCACTTTATTTATTTTTGTTAATCCTTATCCAAGGATATTTTTCATTGATTCTTGATAGAGTGGAAGAGAGGGAGGAGGGGGGGAGAGAGAAAGAAACATTGATGTTAGAGAGACACTTCAATTGGTTGCCTCCTGCATGACTCCCACCAAGGCCAGGGATCAAACTTGCAATCCAGGTATGTGTCCTTGACCGGGAATCCAACCTGTGACCCTTTGGTCTGTGGACAGGGCTCAATAATCACTTTAACTGAAAATGGCTTAAATGCTCCAATCAAAATACATGGGGTAACTGAACCAATAAGATAACAAGACCCATCTATATGCTGTCTACAAGAGCCCAACTTGGAATGAAAGATATGCATGGAATGAAAGTTAAAGGGATGGAAAAAGATATTTCATGCAAATGGAAAAGAAAAAAGAAGGGATAGTAATACTTATATCAGACAAAATAGACTTTAAAACAAAAGCTATAATAAGAGACAAAGAAAGACATTACATAATGAAAAAGAGATCAATCTAACAAGAGGATATAACCCTTGTAAACATTTGTACATCCAACATAGGAGCACCTAAATATATAAAGCAGATCTTGATGGGCATAAAGGGAGAGACTGACAGTAATGCAGTCATAATAGAGGACTTTAACACCCCACTGACCAGATGGATATAATTCATATTTTTAGAGCATTTTAGCCCCAAGCAGCAGAGAAATCATTCACAATTCCGAAATCAATGAAACCAAAAGCTGGTTCTTTGAAAAGATAAACAAGATTGATAAACCTTTAACTAGACTCATCAAGAAACAGAGAGGCCCCACATAAATAAAACCAGAAATGAAAGAGTAGGAGTAACAATTGTCGCTACAGAAATACAAAGAATTATAAGAAAATATCACTAACAACTATGTGCCAAGAAATTGGACAATCTGGAAGAAATGGGTAAATTACTAGAAACACACACTCTTCCAAAACTGAATCAAGAAGAAACAGAAAAGCTGAAGAGATTGATTACAACTAATTAACTTGAAGAAGTAATAAACAAAAACAAAAAATCTCTCAACAAACAAAACACCATGATCAAATGGGACTTACTCCTAGGATTCAAGGTTGGCTTCACAGGCAAATTTTACCAAACATTCCAAGAACAAACTGCAGTCCTGAAATTTCCAAAAAATTCAAGAGGAGGGAAGACTCCAAAACTTATTGTACAAAGCTACCATTGTCCTAATTCCAAAACCAGCTGAAGACACTAGAAAGAAAGAAAATTACAGGGTAATATTCCAGATGAACGTATGCAGAACTCCTCAACAAAATACTAGCAAATTGAATTAAGCAGTACACCAAAAAGATCATACACCATGATCAAATGGGACTTATTCCTAGGATTCAAGGTTGGTACAATATCTAAAAATCAGTTGATGTTATAAACCACACAAACGAAATTAAGGATAAGAATCATGTGATCATATCAATAGATTTAGAAAAAACATTTGACAAAATTCAGCACTCATTTTTTATAAAAACTCTCAGCAATATGGGAATAAAGGGAACATACCTCAACATAATAAAGGCCATATATGACAAACCCACAGCCAACATCATACTCAATGGGGAAACACTAAAAACATTTCCTTTGAGATCAGGAATAAGACAGTGATGTCCACTTTCACCACTCTTATTCAACATAGTACTGGAAGTCCTAGCCACAGCAATCAGACAAGAAGAAGAAATAAAGGCATCCAAATTGGAAAGGAAGAAGTAAGACTGTTATTATTTGCAGGTGAAATGAAACTATGTAGAGAACCCTAGATTCTACCCAAATCTAGAATTCATTAATTAATTTAGTAAAGTGCCAGGATACAAAATTAATATTCAGAAGTTGATTGTATTACACTAGTAATGAATTATCAGAAAGAGAAACTAAGAAAACAGTCCCATTTATATTGCATAAAAAAAGTACCTTGGAATAAATACAACTAATCTATACATTTAGTGCAATTCTTGTCAAAATACCAGGCATACTTCACAGACCTGGAACAAATAATCCAAAAATTTATGTGGAACCACAAAAGACTTTGAATAGCCACAGAAACCGTGAGAAAAACCAATATTGGCATTCCACATTGCCTGATATCAAACTACAAGGCCATAGTAATCAAAACAGCTTGGTAGCCCAGCTAGTGTGGCTCAGTTGGTTAAGTGAAGTCCCATGCACCAAGAGGTCATTTCCTGGTTCAATTCTTGGTCAGGGCACATGCTCAGGTTGCATGCTTGATCCCCATTGTGGGGGCATGTAAGAGGCAGCTGATTGATGTTTCTCTCTCATTGAAGTTTCTGTCCCTGTCTCCCTCTCCCTTCTCTCTCTCTAAAATCAACAAAAACTTATTTAAAAAAAAACACAAAACAACAAATAGCCTGGTACTGGCATAAAAGCAGACATATAAGTCAATGGAACAGAATAGAGAGCTCGTAAATAAATCCATGCCTATATAGTCGATTAATATTTGATAAAAGGAGTCAAGAAAACACAGTGGGCCTGGCCGGTGTGGCTCAGTGGTTGAGCATCGACCCATGCACCAAGGAGTCGCTGGTTCGATTCCTGGTCAGGGCACATGCCCAGGTTGTGGGCCAAATCCCCAGTATGGGGCATGCGGGAGGTGGCTAGTTGATGTTCTCTTTCATCAATGTTTCCATCTCTCTTATCTATTCTCTCTATATATAAAATCAATAAAGAAAAAATTTTAAAAAGAACATACAGTGGGATAAAGACAATATTCAGTAAGTAGTGCTGGAAAAATTGGACAGATACATGCAAAAAAAAAAAAGAAATTAGACCACCTTCTTACATGTATACAAGAAAACATTCAAAATGGATTAAAGACTTAAGTATAAGACTCAAAACCATACAACTCGTAGAAGAGAACATAGGCAATAAAATCTTGGACATTTCTCATATCAATATTTTTTTCTTATATATCACCTCAGGCAAGGGAAACAAACAAAATAGACAAAGGGACTACATCAAACTAAAAAATTTTTGCACAGCAATGGAAACCATCAAATCAACCAAAAGATAGTCTGTGGAATGGGAGATGACAAAGATACATCTGATAAGGGGTTCATATCCAGAATTTATGAAGAACTTAGACACCTTAATACCATGAAAACAATTAAAAAGTGGGCAGAAGACTTGGATACTTCTCCAAGGAAGACATACAGGTGGCCAATAGATACACAAAAAGGTGCTCAATGTCAGTAATCATTAGAGAAAATGCAAGTCAAAATCACGAGATCCCACCTCACACCTGCCAGAATGGCTATCATCAGTAAATCAACAAACCACATGTGTTGGTGAGGTCAATGTGGAGAAAAGGGACCATCGTGCACTGTTGGTGGGAATGCAGATGGTGCAGCCACTATGGAAAGCAGTATGATGTTACCTCAAAAGATTAAAACTGGAACTGCCTTATGACCCATTGATTTTACTTCTCAGAATATATCCAAAGAAACCTGAAAATCTAATTTGAAAAGATAAATGCACCCCTATGTTCATTGCAGTGTTATTTACCATAGCCAAGCCTTGGAAGCAATCTTAGTGCCCATCAATAGATGAGTGAATAAAAAAGCTGTGGTACATATGCAAAATGGAATACTACTTTGCCTTAAAAAAAGAATGAAATCTTATCTTTTGCGACAGCATGGATGGATCTAGAGAGTATTATGGGAAGGGAAATAAGTCAGCAGAGAAAGACAAGTACTATATGATTTCACTTATATGTGGAATCGAATGAACAAAATTAACAAACCAGATATAGACTCAGGTATAGTGAACAGACTGATAGCTGTCAAGAGGGTAGGGAAGTTAGGGGTTTGGGTGAAAAAGGTTAAGGGATTAAGAAGTACAGATTGGTCATTGCCAAATGGTCATGGGTCTGTAGATTACAGCATAGGGAATATAGTCAATAATATTGTGATAACTATGTGTGGTGCCAGGTGAGTACTGGAAACATCAGGGGAACCACTCTGTAGAGTACCTGATTCCCTAACCACTATGCTGTACATCTGGAACTAATATGGAATAATGTTGAATGTAAACTGTAATTGAAAAAAATTTTAATGTGTTTGTAATGAAATTGCCAGCTCTTTGTAGTTTTTTTTTTTTTTAATCCTCACCTGAGGATATTTTTCCATTTTTTGCACAGAGTGGGAGGGAGAGAGCGGAAGAGAGAGAGAGAGGGAAACATCGATGTGAAAGAGACACATCGAGTGGCTGCCACCCGCACGACCAACCAGGGCCGGGGACAAACTGCAACCAAGGTACATGCCCTTAGCGGGAACCGAACCCGGGTCTCTCTGGACCGCAGGCGGATGCTCTAACCGCTGAGCCAAACTGGCCAGGGCTCTTTGTAGTTATTTATAGTGTTATCTTTATGACTTAAGGTGTAAATATATATGACATAGTGCTTTACCAATTACAGAGTGCTTCCATTATACTCTTAAATAATTTGAAATCTGTTCCTGGAGATGAAATTACTCTTATGTCATGGAGCAAACAGACCTTAAATCAGTTTTGAAGTCTTAGAATCTTAGTTTTATTATCTCTTATTTTTGTAGACCTAAATCTTGATGCAATAGATGCAGGAACACTATAGGGATGAGTGTTGTCTATTATGGAGGGAGCAATGTATTTATAAAAAAGGAATTCAGTAGTATCTAGAAAGCATTTATGTAGTATCTAGTACTTCAAGGTTGTATAAAAGAAGTGTTAGACATAATCCTTGACCTTAAGGAGATTGTTTCATCTGTGTGCCTTATCTCTGTATTGCTAAAGATATAATCAGACTCGGTTGGCCTCACTCTTCCAAAATTATACATCGCGTCCTGAATCTTAGCCACTTATTTGTGTCTCGGTTGTCTCAAGATGTGATCTTAGAAGAAACTGTAAGAATCACGGCAGACACATCTTCAGTGTTGGGAGACAGCTCTGTTCCTTACTATTTTTATCATCTTTGTATTCTGACAGTAGCATGTTTGAAATGTGTAAAATTAAGAAAGATAACTCTGTTTTTCAATTAATTTTTTTAGACTAAGAATCTGTCAAAACAGAGTACTCTTTTAGGGTATGAGCCATTTTCAAACACTCGTATTTGTTATCACTTTCTAGCTATAGATTTGCAGTGTTATCGTTTATTTAATAGGTTTTCCTTCACCTTGCAAATATTTCTGTGACTGAGTCATATTGCCACCAGATGGCAGATAGCTCACAAATATGTCCCAAACAAATATGGAGATAAGCTTATTTATAAAATATCATGTAAAACCTTTTGGTGAGGAAGAGCTGAATTGAGACAACATTAACCCTAGAATAAGGTTATTTTTATGGGGAACACTTTATGAAATAAGTGCCTGGGAAATACTGTATAGTGGGTAAAAGCATAGGTTCTGGAGCCAAGATGATGTGACTAAATCCTGGCTCTTTCACTTTCGTGCTGTGCAACCTCTGATTAGCCCCTTAACTTCTCTGTTTCCATTTCAACATCTCTAAAATGAGGATAATAATAGTAAATACTCATAGGTGGTTTGTAAGAATTAAAGAAGTTAATATAAGGAAAGTCCTTAGAACAGTGCCTGGCAGGTAGTAAGAACAGCATAAGTATAGCTGGATTATTATAAGGTATAATTTAGCATCTCTTAGTAATCAGTTTTTATTATCTTGTTATTCCAACTTTAATTTTATTTGAAGGCTTTAATTAGAATATTCCTGCCTCACTTGTTTTGAGATCCAACTTAGAGTCCGTAGTCTGTCTCCTAAGTGAGTCCTTAATTCAAGCTTTTGGAACAAGTCCTTCCAGGGCTTGCTTGTTTCAGCAATGAGCTGTAACAACCTTGGCCAGCCAGGGTCCCTTTTGTACTTGTTTCCACATTAATCAAAGAGAAGGCTGTAATGTGCCTTCGTGGTGCTCTTAATTAATTCTCACAGTCACGGAGTCTCCTCAGCCCTTTCACAGTGCTGAAGGCTGACCATAAAGTTGTCCCGTGGAATATTCTTGTCCTGAGGTTAGTTTTGTTACTTTCCCTTTGATTAATGTGGGAACAAATACAGAGGGAAGTATTAACTGCTCTGCTTAGGAGTGTAATAAATAGCATCCCCTCTTCTCATTAACTTGTATCAGATATCTTGGTACTTAGTTGTAACTTGCAATGGATGTTAAGGGCTCTTCTCTTACCCACAACAAAAGACCTCTCTCATGTTGAAAACTTTTCTGAAATAGCATGTGTCCTTTTCCACAGACTCTTCTAAGTGAACTGGGTTTTTAAACAGAAGATACTTTAGATGGCTTCACAGCACTAACTTAAGTATCTACTTTTGCTGCATACCCCTGCTCCCCTCATTCTGTTACTTTCAGTGGTTAAGTTTTCCCAAGTCAGGCAATATGAGCTGAGGGAGCACTTTAACCCCTACAAGTTTCTGGAGTTGGAGCTGGGGGTGAGTTTGAAGGAAGAAGCCAGTTATTTGGACGATCTCAGTTTAGCAATCTGAACTCTGTGGCCTGTGTCTTTCTTTTCTAGTTCCTAGTCCACATACTGCTGATCATATTCCTTTGTGCGTTGCTTTCAGGTGGAGTTGGCATGAACTTAACAGCAGCAGATACTGTTATTTTTGTTGACAGTGATTTCAATCCTCAGAATGACTTGCAAGCAGCCTCCAGGGCTCACCGAATTGGCCAGAACAAGTAAGAGATTTAAGCATCTGCACTTTGCTAGTTCTGGGTTCCTCGGCAGTTCTGAGTTCAGGAGGAAGGTGAAGAGCACAGTCCCGTGATAGTCTCAGGCTGGAGGCTGAGAGACCGCTAGGTGTTAGCCCAGGCTCGCTGCTGACGACAGGGCACGGTCTCACTCAAGACATGCTCTGTTTGAAAGAGCAAAATCAGGTTGTGAAAGGACTAGAGGGAACCTTCAGAAGTTACTTAACTCATCCTTCCTGAGTTAAGGTCTAATTCAGTTAAAAAATGAATTTATGGTGTTATGGGACTAAGCTAAAAAGATGGGTCTTAACCTTTGACAGAGGATAATTTAATTTTTGTTTAATCCTCAACTGAGGATTTTTTTTCCATTGATTTTTCAGGTAGAGTGGGTGGGAGGGAGGGAGGGAAGGAGAGAGAGAGAGAGAGAAACATCGATATGAGAGAGACACATCAACTGGTGGCCGCTTGCACGACCAGGGCTGGGAAAGTGAACAGCAACTGAGGTATGTGCCCTCGACCGGAATCAAACCCGCGACTCTCTGGTCCGAGGGCCGACGCTCTTCACTGCTCAGCCAAACTGGCCAGGGCGACCAGAGGATGATTTAGATGTACCTGTGGTTTTCTCCTGCCACAGAGAAGGAATCCCAGTTCGGGCCACCTCATCATTCCTTCCTGGACTCTCTTGGGAAGGTTCAGTGAGAACCTTTGTGAGGCCAGATCTCTGACCAATGCGTAGTCCACAGATAACCGTCTCCCTTTCAGCTGTGCCCCAAACATGGCAGTTTGGATTTATTTCCTTGTAGGTGCATCAGCCTTGCATGCTTGCACCCATCTTTGCAGACTCTGATAGCACATTCCTCTCCTTTGACTTCTGTACAGGTCTGTTAAAGTTATCCGGCTGATTGGCAGAGACACTGTGGAAGAAATCGTGTGTAGGAAAGCCGCCACCAAGCTGCAGCTCACCAGCGCAATCATGGAGGGAGGCCATTTTACTCTGGGAGCCCAGAAGTCAGCAGTTGATGCTGACCTCCAGGTATGCTAGGTTGTTCTGCACTTCAGAATATGTCAGGATTTTATAGTCAGTGCTCTCTGTGGGTGAGAAAGTAAATGAACTAGCATTAACTCCCTGGCCAAACTCTACCTCCCATAGTACCTACTGCATGCAGACTGCTATAGGAGCTAGAAATGAATATGATATAAAAGGGCAGCAGAACATAGAATAACGATGTGCTTTGGATCCATCTGACTTGGATTTAAATACAAGCCTTGTCACTTACTGACTCCGAGGCTTTGAGCAGGTATCATAATCTCTTAGATCTACTCTGTTTACTTTTCTGAAAATGAGGATCCCACAAGTTACCTCAGTGGGTTGTTAAGAGAATTCGGTAAAAATAAAGAATTCTACATAATAAATAGTGATTAATTGCATGCTTTCATCCTGACCCCAGACCCTTTGATCAGAGATTTACATTACTTTCTTTATACTCAGAGGAGGGTGAACAAGGTTGGGAATTCAAAATTATGTCATAGGAAGAATGGATAATAGAACTAGAGTTAATTACTTGAAGGGGATTCTGGATCAGAAACATGCAGGCTTGGAAGACTTTAGAGAAAGTCCTCTTCTGGAAGAAGGCTTCAGGTTCCTCTATTGCAGCCCTTGGGTTAAAATTAGAACCTGTATTATGACTGAGGAATGAGGGGCTGGAAGCAGAGAGACCATCTCCTGGGATCCCAGAAAGATCCAGGCCTGAAGGCAGCAGTAAATCTCTGGCAGGGCAGTAGCAGTGGGAGGGTCTGAGTGACAAATGCTGCAAAAGAAGAAACGACAGGCGTCTGTGGTTCAGAGGTGGATAACGAGGGAGACGGAAATTCCAGGATGGACATAAGGTTTTAGGCCTGGATGATGAGGGTAGGAATTAGGAAGACAGAAGGTAGGGCAAAGTTCTAGGAAGATGAAGATAATTTAGGCTTTTCTCTGAGTTTTTAGTAAAAGATAAAATATGAACAAACTAGTGTTAGAGGAAAACTCGGAGACAAGAATTTTATTTGTAAATGTTTGTGAGAGCAACTTTAAAAGGACTAATGTATCAAAATATAACAAGTTTTTATAAGAAAAAAGTTACACAATATTATAAGCAGAGTTACCAGGTTTAGAATTAGTCTGAGCATGGGTTTAAAAATACAGCAGTTTTCTCACATTGTTTTATAAAGGACAGGGCTCACTTTGGTTTTATTAGGGAGTCAGTAACTTATAAGAAAGGCTCAAGGTTTCATTTATTTTGGGACTGGAAGTAGGAAGAGTATTTCTGGGTTTTATGTGTTTACTTGTTTGGTTTTTGTTTTATCTTAAAGTATCAAGTGTGTTTTTTTCTCTTTTCTGCTTTTCCTTTGGTTCCCAACTGATATGTGCATGTTTCACTGTGGTGGTGACAGGGAAAGCTGTATGTTTTCCTTCTCACATTATGTAAGGCAATTACAAATGCAGGGTGAACGCTTGACTGGGTGGGATGTGAAGACTCTTAGATAATAGTTCTTCATAGGAGCTTGACAGTGATGATTTCAGCATTGGGCTTGGTGAAGGGGTAAATGACAGAGCCTGTAGAGTGTTCATGTTCTAGGTGTTGGAGGAGGAAGAGTTGTCAGTAAAACTTTTGAGCTCTCTCCCAGTGCGGGATGAGCTCGGGATTCTGTCAGGGTGTCCCTTGAGGCAGGCTGCTGGGCACATCAGTGTAAATTGTGTAGACATACCTATATGCAGTGGCCAATTCTAGTGTGATCGTAGACCACTGGCTGATTGAGAGGCACTGTCAGACTCTGGCCCAGCTCATGGTTGCTGGAAGGTTACATTTTGGCTCTGACATCTGATTTATCTCTTCCCCTCACCAGACTATACCAGTTTCATCTGGTTGCTAAAAACAAAGGTGACAGCCAGTGCCCTTGTCTCAGAAGAAGGCAGTTTTTGTTTGGAGAGTGTTTTGTTATTGTTGTTTACTTTTGTTTTGTTTTTTTGTAATACAAAAAGAATCCAATAGTAAAAGGAGTGAGTGTGGTGTAGTAATTCTAAGCACTATAGGATTCTGAAGTCCTCAAAGAGATTCATCATCCTGCAAGGAGAACACAGTAGAAACAAAGAGGTAGATGCAGATATAGTGAACGCTTATTGGTGCTAAGTATTGTGTGCTAAGTATTATATAAAGTGCTTCTTTCCAGTTGTTTTTGCAAATATGAATAACAATAGAATGAGGTAGGCACTATCTTTGTTCCCATTTTAAGTAATTTGCCCAAGGATATTCACACTTAGGACTCTAATGCAAGTACTCTCCAATCTCCAAGCACACGCCCTTAATTACTGCAGTATATTGCCTCTCTGAAAACCCTGGAGTCCCTTCATGACTGAGACACATCACAAGTGGAAGTGCAAATACAATGTGAACTGAAGGGAGTGTCCCAGTATGGACCAGTCCTTATCATAAATAGTAGGCTCTCTTTTATTTTTGGTGCCAGTTGCCAAAGCTAGTCTCCTTCTATATGCCAAGGTTAAATATTGGTATAGCCAGGTGTGATCATGCTTAGAGCCAAGATTTTTTCCAAACTATTACAAAATACCCTCAGCTTTCCAAGTGACTCACAAAACAGATCATCTGGAGGTAATTTACCCTGTCTAAAAGGACAAGATATGAATGAGGAGCCAAGATGAGACTCCAGCTTGGTTTAGAGTTGTGGAGTTAGTGCACAGTTGGAAGAGGGATGTTTAAGTTGGGAAAAATGATCTGAACCCTTTGGGGGGTTCCTCCAGCCCTAGGGAATAGGCTGAGGGTACGAGCAAGGAGGGAAGAGAAGCGGCAGAGTGCAGTGCCGGAGGAACAGCCAGGAAGATGAGAAATGGCCTTGAGGCCAGCAGTCGGGGGTTGTGACTGGCCTTTGCGAAGATAGTTTCCATAGAGCACTGTGGTAGGAACCACATTGCCAAAGGATAAAACTCAGTTCATGGCAGACGTTAAGTACCCTGTGTGGTCTTCTCTTTCCAAGTTTGGCAGGAGAGGTGGGAGAATAGGTCTCTGGTATGTGGATATTGAGAATGCCTATGAAAAAGACTCAGTCAGAAGTGCTAAGGTAATGCAAGAAGTTACGTTATTCCTCAGAGATAGAATTGGAGGCTCATAAATTGTTTTTATTATTGAGACTTGTCAAAGTCAACATCTCTGATCATCATTTATCACCTTTCTGTTGACCCATCATCTAACTACTCAATGGCCCTGTCGGTTTCTAGGCCGACCAGGGAAGGAATGTGCCTGGTGTTGCTTAGCAAATCCCTGGTATCCCGATGTTTGTTTTAATGAGAACTGACTGGACTTTGTTTTCTCCATTCAAGTTGGGTGAGATACTCAAGTTCGGTTTGGATAAACTGCTGTCCTCTGAGGGGAGCACTGTGGATGAAGTAGACCTGGAGTCTATCCTGGGAGAAACAAGAGATGGCCAGTGGATCTCGGATGCCTTGCCTACTGCAGAAGAAGGAGGCAGAGAGCAAGGGGAAGGCAGTAAGTAGGGGGTGGCACAAAGGGCACAGCCACCCTAAGCTAGAACACAGGATGAGTCCCATGGAAGTCCTCAGTACTGCTCCCTGGGACGTCCTTTTCCTACCCAGCCGTGTTCTCATCTTGGGCACCCTGTTCAAGGCTTACTTGGTCCAAGACCTCTTTCTGGACTGACTGAACATTGGCTCTTCCCTTATCGCTGAACTTTGAATCCAGTTGATAATACTGATGCTTATGGTACTATCAATTCCAAGGATTTTAATTTGCATTTTTTTCTCCCTTGGTTGCAAACACCTTATTACGTCCTACTGTCCTTACTATGGTGCTCTCCACATAGTGATTCCTTTTCTGAATAGTACAATGATTTGTTTTTAAAATTATAGTTAACACTGATTGAGTAGTCTGTGCTCAATAAAAAGTATGAACTGTGTCATGTGCTTTATGCCTAGTTTTTTCATGTAATCTTCACAATACCCCACAAGGTGTAGGTACCATTAATTTAAATTTCGTAGTGAAGCAATATATATAAATCAGGAGATGATTTGGCTGCTCTCTTAGTTCTTCTGAATTTGGTTAACATTTATTTGTTTCTGTTCTAAATATTTGAATTTCTGGTTCACAGTGTTTTTTTTGTTTTTGTTTTTTTCACATAGTAGTTTTGTAAGGATGTTCTCTGATGTTTATGGTTGTTCTGAAGTGACTTTATTTTTCTGTACCAGTGGGGCAACAGGGAGTCAGTGTACACTGGGGTGAGAGGTTTGAGGTCTTCCTAGGCTTCTTAATTCAAGAGAACCTATTCCACGGATGCAGAGAATCAGAGTATCTTTACTAGGTGGTGCTTCCCTATTTTGGTGGGGAGTAGGGTTGATGTGACTTCTGGTTTTGTGTTCTCTTTTGTTTCTGTAGGACCCTGAGTTTCCATTGCTTCCTTCTTATCCTTTGCCACAAAGCTGCGGGGGCTCGTCTCCCCGTTCTAAGTCATTCCCCCTTCTCCCCCAGAAGCGGTGTCTTCCCAGATTGCTGGCTGCTTATATTTTCTAGTTCCTTCCTTTAAATCCCTTAGTAGCTACTGCTCTGATCTGCCGGGTCTCAGACATGTTATTTTCACATGTGAGGTGCGGCCCTCTTTTAGGGGGAAGGATGTTATCTGTGTCTGGCACTGCTGGAACCCCATGCCCTCTCCTCTTTCCAGGCAGTCTCTCTGCACTGTGCTCTGTCAGCTGCGGGAGCTGGTTCAGCTGGCTTTGAACGTGCATTTCTCTGTTTACCTCGAAATTGAAGTTTGTAGTATTCTTTGACTCTTGGTTTTGCAGTTGACATGGGTGGTTTTTTCTTTTTTGATCTGGACAGTGTTACCAGTCATGAGGAAATTGGAATGCGGGAAGCTGGCACTGTTCTATTAGGACACCTCTCTTTGACTTTTCTTATAGTTTCTGTCTTACATTTTTAATTTACTTTTCAATAATTTTAAAACCTTGAGGGGTACAGAATCACACATTCCATGTTCAATGGCTTTAGCATGTAGGTCGCTTCAGAATTTGGCACGAACCATGCCGTTTGCTGGAGCACGAGTTACTGCTCCCCAGATGACTCTGCTTTTGTTCCGTTTGCCCAGAGCAGTCACTGTGTTGTTCTTTGTTTCGTACACATAAGCACATCTCTTGCCCAGATAGAATCCGTTTTGTCTCCAGCATAAACACTCACTTTTAAAAAGGGCTGTGTGCTCCCTCTGATTTCAGAGACCCTGCTTATAGCCAACAAAAATGGCCTTGGGCCATAGCCTTCCAGACATATCATCGCTTTAGAAGTCCTGCTCCCAGTAGGCCTCCACAGGCTCCAAGATGGAAAGAGTCTTTTACCTTTTAAATATCAGTGTCCCGTTTTTATTCTTCAAGTACTCTTTTGTTCTCTTTTCTGATTGTTTTAATTGTGTCCTGTTTTGTTTCAGGGAGGTAATATCCTCTCTCAGGACATTTATTATAATAAGTATCCTCCCTGGAATACTTTTGAAAAGCTGTATCTTTTTAAAAAGTATTCTTCTGCCCCCTGCTTTGTCTCTCTTTCCTCCAGTTACTGCTGCTGCTGGCTTTTTCAAAATTTGTTTTGGAATCATATGTTCTTGTTGGTAGTTTTCTTGAAATATCTGGTGTACTCTGGCTATCTGATCATCTGTGCTGGTGAAACGCCACAGCTGATAGGCAGCTCTGACATGAACAGGTGTATGGGCTCTTGGTCCTTTTCCAGCCTTGCTGGCTGGTGAGCAGGGCGTTTACATTGAAGGGGCCTTCCCACATGTCTGTATGTGAAGTCCTTTCACTGGGCAACTCAGTTTCTCCAGAGATGAATCCTTTAAAAAACCTTTCTTGCAAGAGGTGGGGTCGGGGTTGGAATAAACCTATATTTGCTCAAATTGAAGAGAAGTGTGAGTCAGGGGTTCATGGTATTGCCATTATTTGGGGTGCAGAATTTCTCTGTTCCCCTGCCCTGTGATACCTTGCCTTTGTAATCAGTCTCAAGCTTTTACAGGATTGAAAGGGACTGTTCTCACAATCACCTTGACTAGGCATCTGTGTTTTGTTTCCACTGTTCTTAATCTGGTCCCATCCCGCCAGCCACCTTACATTTTCCAGGGAGTTTTCGAACTTTCCATTCTGTTGCCTCACGTATCTTTTAAAAACCCCTGAACTGTCATTAGTGGTTTTAGGTGGGAGAAGAAGTAGATGCATGTGGTCCTCTTTTTAGGTTATATTTTGATTTCCTCAATTTCAGCTTATTTTTCTAGTATTTACTAGAACAAAAATAAAACTTCACTGTTTTTCAGAAAGATAATTCTATTTTTCAGACAGTCCAGCTGCCAAAAAACAATTATTTTTTCCAGGCAGTCCAGTATGTTTGTTAGTTGAGAATTGCGTGCAATGTGAAGCTACATGTGTTGATCATATTTGACACTTCTCAGCTCTTTATTTTCCCCCACATGTTGATAGAGCACCTCATTGAAAGCCCACTGCTGATTCAATTAGCAAATGCCAAATAGAATTACAGCTGGTTGTATTTGGGTACAAGTGTGGATCAATTGATCTCTTGAGAATAATTATTTTGCTTTCATACTCTCTAGAGAAAACATACTTATGGCTGATTTCATAATGCTGTGAAAATACATTCTTTGGTAACACATGCTATTAAATACACTTCCGTTTAGAATCATTATCTCACATCTCTGTGGTTGCTAGTCTTGTCATGAGTTTCCTTCATCAGTGATTCATAATCTTGGCAGATCACCCGAGCTCTTTGAGCCTTTGTGTTCCCATTTGTAAAATGGTGCTGTTAATGCCTGCTTCTCTCTTTTGTTTTTTTAAATATTGTATTTATTTATTTATTTTTGTTAATCCTCACCCGAGGATATTTTTCCATTGATTTTTTGAAAGAGTGGAAGGGAGGGAGAGAGAGAGATCTCTCTCACATTGATTGGTTGTCTCCCGCATGACCCCGATCAGGGCTGGGGATTGAACCTGCAAGCCAAGTGTGTGCCTTTGACAGGAATCAAACCCGTGATCCTTTGGTCCACAGGCCGACGCTCTAACCACTGAGCAAAACAGGCCAGGGCTATGCTTCTCTCTTTTAAACAGTTGCATAAATCTAATGTGATATGATGTGCAAGTGCTCTGATAGCATAAAATGCTATTCAAGGTGACACTGTTGTTATTGTTACTCCTGGCCTGTCATCTCTCTCTCCTTCTAAAGACACAGTAAGATACTGAGAAGAGCATGCTGGCCCTAGAGCCAGGAAACTCTTCTTTATTCCTTAAGAACTAGGGAGTCCCTTAATCCCTGTCTGAGTCTCAGTTTTCCCTTTCTTAAGTGGGGTTAATTATACCTGGTTTGTGGTGAGGCCCATGAAAATGCTTCATGAGATATGGAAAGACTATTATAAATGTAAGGGATTATATTTATGATTCCTTATTTTTCTCATCGATTTGCCACTTGACTTTTTTAATATTACAGAACAGGGGAGAAAGAGTTGAGTATTAAAAGTGTGTTTAGCCTGGCCGGTTCAGTGGTTGAGCATCGACCCATGCACCAAGAGGTTGCCAGTTCGATTCCTGGTCAGGACACATGCCCAGGTTGTGGGCGCACTCCCCAGTAGGGGGCATGCAGGAGGCAGCCAGTCGATGTTTCTATCTCTCTCTCCCTCTCCCTTCCTTTCTCTCTAAAATCAATAAAGGAAAAACATTTTTTAAAATAAAAAGAAAAAGAAAAGTTTTTTCCGAAGATGTTCTTAGTTATCTTAATGTCAGGAGACATGCGCTGAGGAATAGTGTGGCATGAATGAGTGATGAGTGATTCAAGACTCAACAGGATGGAGGTATCTAACAGAGACTCACAGATCATCTAGAGATGGTCTAAAGGGCTTTAGCTGTGTTCTCTCCTTTGAAAAGTAAATGTGTACGATCTTCATTTGGATTCCAAACCCATCGATGTCAGTGGGATCTGAAATGCAGCACCTTCAACACAAACTAGTCTTAGCCCATTTAGAATACAGGCTTTTCTGCCCAGCTGGTGGGACTCACTGGTTGAGCATCAACCCGTGCACCAGGAGGTCGCCGGTTCAATTCCCAGTCAGGGCACATACCCAGTGGGGAGGCATGCAGGAGGCAGGCAATCGATGTTCTCTTTCATCGATGTTTCTGTCACCGTCTCTTCTTCTCTCTCTAAAATCAATAAAAAAAAAAAATTAGAATACAGGCTGTTCTTTTGTTCATCCTGGTTATTGCTCTGAATAGAACTAACCCATTTTTCTTTAGTACCTAACATTTTTCTTTTTATGTTTTATGTTCTTAGAAAATCATATGTACTTATTTGAAGGGAAAGACTATTCTAAGGAGCCCAGTAAAGAAGACAGAAAATCATTTGAGCAGCTGGTGAATCTTCAGAAAACCCTTTTGGAGAAAACTGGTCAAGAGGGCCGGTTACTCCGAAATAAAGGCAGTGTAAGAACTATTAATTTATGTAAAAGAATAAATTCCTCCAAATTCTCATTCTAAGAGAATAAAGAGTGATGCTGGGTGTGATTTATTAAGAAATAAAATATAAGTATTTGTTGAAACGTAAGTGTAATTACCTCGACCAGTGTGTGGAGAGGTCTCCCCTAAACGTCTGCTTTTCTCCAGTCTTCAAGGCTTCAGTCTTTCTTTCGGTCAAGATGAGTGATACGCCAGACTTGTCTGAAGTGAAGTTTGACAGGTCAAAACTGAAAAAACTAATACCAAAGAAAAAAATATTCTCCCCTCAAGTGAAATTATCCAGCAGGAGAAAGAGTGTGTTCAAATATTGTAAAACGAGGATCTCCCAAGAACAAATTTCAACATTGCATTGGGGCTCGCTTTTTGTAAACCTTTGTGTTATAGAGATTTTAGGCATCTTTTGATGTCTTCTCACTCATACCGCCTGGCTAAGAGGTCAGGGGTATCCAGTGTTCCCTCACCTACATTTTTAAACTTTGTCCATTGGTGCATAAATTCCAGCTGGCAGATGCTGTCGATAATCTCGCTGTTGGTGACCTTTCCATGTGTAGTCTTTGCCCCGCCCGTAGGATAAGCCACTTGTAACCTTCTATGATGGATGCCTCCATTGCTCCGTAATCTTCGTGAAGTGACAGGCTTTTGCAGCTTCTCACAGTTTATTTTCATTTCTAATGTAGCAATAACATATAATCACTAAAAACAAGAAATATAAGTATAATTAACTGTACTGTAGTATAAAAACTGTAAAAAGTTTGCATAAAAAACATTAGGAAGGAGAATGTATTTTGCCATTTAAAGCAAGTGAGAGCAGCCCTGTCCATGTAAACCACCCCTGGGATCACTGTATTACAGCAGAATACATACCTGCTCTTGACAGTCGTGACCCCATGTCGTTAAGAGAGGAGAGCAACCAAACAATATCTCTAATGTCCACAGTTTGGCACTTAGTATGTGCTCATTGAATGCTAGCTATCATTATCATGATGTTGAAATATTCTGTTTAAGAAAGGAATATAATACATTGCAGGAAGATTTCCACTAAAAAATGGTTAAACCTAAAATGGCATCCTGCAAGGTATGCTTTCAATTTTTTTTTTTTTTTTTTTATCCTCACCTGAGGACGTTTTTCTATTTTTTGTTCAGGCAGAGTGGGAGGGGGAGAGAGGAAGAGAGAGAGAAACATCGATGTGAAAGCGACACATCGAGTGGCTGCCACCCACACGACCAACCAGGGCCGGGGACAAACTGCAACCGAGGTACGTGCCCCTAGCGGGAACCGAACCCGGGTCTCTCGGGACCGCAGGCCGACGCTCTAACCGCTGAGCCAAACCGGCCAGGGCTGCTTTCAATTTTTAAAAAGTTATTTTTCTGAAGTGCCTTATTCCTAATGAAAGTAATCCAAATGATGTACTGCTGTACCAACCATGCCAGTGCTTCGGTTGAGTTTAGAGCACAGGGCCCTGGTTGCCATGCCAGTGAGAGGTGTGAGGGAAGTGTGGATCGAAGTGTCTTCCCACCACACGAGGGGGCATGGAGACGCAGGGTTTTGTGAAAGGGTAAGCACGTTGCTTCATACAGAGTGTGTTCTGGGGATGAATGAAATTCATGAAGGAACAGGTAGCCCCCAACCTTCTTGATTATAGATCTTGTTCTTCCTACAGGTTCTCATCCCAGGCCTTGTAGAGGGGTCTGCCAAGAGGAAGCGGATTCTAAGTCCAGAAGAGCTGGAAGACAGAAGGAAGAAAAGGCAGGAAGCAGCAGCCAAGAGAAAGAGACTAATGGAGGAGAAGAAGAGGAAAAAGGAAGAAGTGGAACATAAGAAGAAGTAAGTGTATATTATTTGACTGTATTATTAATAAAGCTGAGGGTCACGATTGGTAAAGGAATCACTATTGTATAGTGAGTCCACAGTTGAACATCATGTTTTAAAAAAAAATTTACTGATTGATTTTAGAGAGAGAAACATCAATTTGTTGTTCCACTTATCTATGCATTCACTAGTTGATTCTTTTTTTTTAAAATTTTTTTTGTTACAGATGTTTCTCCTTTTCCCCCCATTGACACCCTCCTCCCGATCCCCTGACTCCCCGTCCCCAGCATTGTTGTCTATGTCCATTGGTTATGCATGCATGCATATAAGTTCTGTGCACTGGTTGATTCTTGTATGTGCCCTGACTAGGGATTGAACCCGCAACCTTGGCATATCGGGACGACACTCTAATCAACTGAGCTACCCAGCCAGGGTTTGAACATTGCTTTAAAATTGCAGAAAACTTCTATAAAGCTGGTAGCTCCTATTGGTAACAGGATATATATATATTTTTTTTTATCCTCACCCGAGGATATTTTTCCATTTTTTGTACAGATAGAGTGGGAGGGAGAGAGAGGAAGGGAGAGAGAGACAGAAACATCGACGTGAAAGGAACACATCGAGTGGCTGCCACCCGCACGACCAACCAGGGCCGGGGACAAACTGCAACCGAGGTACATGCCCTTAGCGGGAACCGAACTCGGGTCTCTCAGGACCGCAGGCCGACGCTCTAACCGCTGAGCCAAACCGGCCAGGGCGGTAACAGGATATTTTTTAAAGACTAAACTTTAACCTAAACATTTTCCTTACGTGAAAAGTCCTGAGTGCTTAAGGCAGAGAAAATACATTCAATTGAGGCAAGAAAATTTAAGATTTTATTGTAGCTAACAAAAAGTAGTTTACTCACAGTCCCTTTTAGTCAGTTTCTTAAGAGTAAGGACATCTGGTGGCTGCTTATTATTGAGGTATAGTCAGGAGGCAGTTAAGCTAATCGGTAAGCCTTCTTGTTTATATACAAACAGGCAGAAACTTAGTTGGGGTGAATTTCTAATTGCATTTCCACTTGGCACTCAGTGTTTGTGAATGGCAGCACAAAATGTGCTCCAAGGGAAATCATGATTCTCCTGGTTAAATTCCTTTTCTCTCTGGCCTGTTGAAGGATGGCCTGGTGGGAGGCCAACAATTACCAGTCCTTCTGTCTGCCTTCTGAGGAGAGTGAACCAGAGGACCTAGAGGACGGGGAAGAGGAGAGCTTAGCCCAACTGGATTACAGAGATTCAGACTCGACCTCCATCAAGTATGTTAGTGGTGATGTCACCCACCCGCAGGCTGGCGCAGAGGATGCTGTGATCGTGCACTGCATAGGTAGGAGAAATGGTCTGGGCCCAGGGTGGGGGCCTCAGTCTTTATGGTGCCAAGAACTGGGGAGGATGAAGCAGAACCCTGACCTAGGGGTGATTGATGGGCCCAGTGCAGCCTTGTGTGGTCAAAAAGAGTGTGAATTTTAGAATCAAGAGACTTGGATTGGACTCTTGTCTCTCATTTACCTAGTTGAGTAACCCAACCTTCCTGGGCCTTAACTTCCTTATTCGTATAATGGGATAATTTCTACATTATTCCCTTCGCAAGGCTTTTAAGAGAGTAAAAGGAGGCAACATCTGTACGACAAATGAATTCTTTGAGAAAAAGCCGAGTACCAAGCATGTTTCCCCCTCACGACCTTTGCACTTTTTATTTTTTACTTCCTCTGTCTGGAACCCTCTTTCCTCAGATAGCCATCATCAAGCATCGTTCAAATGTCTGTCTGTCAGAAAGATCTCCCCTGATTGTCTCATATAGAACAGAGCCATCCTCACCCCTCCATTTTTCTCTGTCCCCTTGCCTACCTGTTCTACCTGATGGCACATACCACCATCTGACATACTATGTATTTGACTGTTTCGTCGCACTAGAAAATAAGCTTCATGGAAGCAGGGTTTTTTGTTGTCCACTGCTATAATCGTAGTGCTTGGAACAATGTCCGACACGTAACATGCTAACAAATATTTGTAGTTTGAATGAATGACTCTAAATACAGGTACTAACCAGCTTGAATAAGTCATTTAACCTTTCCTCTCCCTTACCTGTAAAGTGGGAGTCATCTGTTGTAGGGCTAGTGCTTCAGTTGTCTTTGTTATGTTACATCTTCTCTCCATCCTTCCTCAGTCATCTCCCAGGCATTACAGAAGTACTGCAGAAATTTTGCTTTTTCAGAACACTAATTTTTTCGATGCTTACCTGTTATGGCCAGGTATACTACAGAAAATCTAAATATATTTGAGAGGTCCAAACTATGATATTCATAGGAGATTAGATTTATTTTTCAAAAGAAAAAACTTTCCTCTACAAATCTTTTTGGTCTACCTTTGTTTTTTTAAGTTGTGGAGTGGACTTTGCCTCCTATAGAAGAAATGTTTCTCTTTTTTTTCTATCAGATGACTCTGGCTGCTGGGGCAGAGGTGGTTTATTCACAGCTCTGGAGAAACGATCCACTGAGCCAAGAAGAATATATGAGCTAGCTGGGAAAATGAAAGGTAAGGACACAGCAGAGAGAAGGGTTGGGGATGGAATAAGAGAGGACACTGAGGACAGGTATCATGTGGGTTTAGAAAGCAATATATAAGGAGTTGGAAGAGCTGCTTGGAGTCTGAATTCTGTCGTCAGTTAGCTCGCTGTAATGTGACTGTGAGGCCGATCTTGCCTTCCCTGTGCCTGTTTTCTCATTTGTAACTTGTAAATAATACTTATTCTACCTAACTCATGGGGCTGTAATGAAGATAATAAATGTGCAAGTGTTTTGATAAATGTTGATCCCTACATGCACATTAAAGTTTAGGATTTCATTGCTTACTCAGCTTACCCCATCTTTGTAAGGGAATCTCTCATGAAAATGTGAGAGCCTGTGGGAGAGAAATCAGACACACTATAAAATGCTAACAAGAGCTGGTGCTGAAGGGAAGTAGGTTGTATTGTTAAGGTAGCACAAACGAGGGTCAAGCTTTTTGGTGCTAGGGGGACTTGGAAGTCTGAATAGTTTTCTCCCTTGGCATAGAGAAAGGGTAAGGGCACCTTCTTTTATGAACAAAATCACAATGTAGCAAAAGGAATAAAATTATTATTGTGATTATTTCCCAGGGAACTTGAGAGGCTAAAGGATCTTGTCCAATAGAGAAGGGCCCTTCACATTTCTCAGAGATTGATTTTTCCTAATTCTTCTGCTCAGTTCTCTAGGATGGAAAGTGATTAAGTACTTAGAGTAAATAGAATACTCTTTCTACGAAAAGAAATTACTGGAAGAGGGCTTTTAATGTGTGTTGAAATAATTAACCTAGATCTAGATATTGACTGGGCAGTTGGAAAAGCAAAGAATCCAGGAGAGATCAGAGCTAGTGGTGCAGACTGAGGAGTCCCTGTTTGGATCTTTGTTTGAAACCAAGAGGGAGCTGTGATGGATATAGGACAGAAGGCATTTCCTAACAGCCTAAAATGCATGGTTCTTTATAAGAAGTTTTATGTAAACCCCATGGTAACCACAAAGCAGAAACCTAGAACAGGTCCAGAAGAGACAAAGGGGAAAGCATACCACCATAGAAAACAATCAATTTAGAAAGCAGGCAGAAGCAGAGGTAAAAGAAGAAACAATGAAAGTACAAAACAACTAGAAAACAGCTATCAGGGTGGCATTAGTAAGTTCTTTTTACATGTCAGTAATTACTCTAACTGTAAATAGATTGAATTCATTAACCAAAAGGCACAGAATGGCTGGATGGACTTAAAAAAAAAAAAGATCTAACTATATGCTTCCTACAGGAGACCCATCTGAGCCTTACGCACAGACTTGCAGTGAAGGGATGGAAAAACATTCCATCTAAGTGGAAACCCCAAAAAGAGGAGCTAGCTCTACATCAGACAAAATAGTCTTTAAGCCAAAAATGGTAATAAGAGATAAGGAAGGCCATTATATAAGATAAAGGGATTAATTCATCAAGAAAATACAGCAGTTGTAAATATATGTGTACCCAACATTGGCACACCTAAGTGTATTAAGCAACTATTTAGGACGAAATAGACAACAATTCAGTAATAGCAGAGGACTTCAACATCCCATTTTCAGCCATGGATGTACTCTTTCTAGACAAAAATATCAACAAGGAAATGGGCTTAAACCAAACATTAGACCAAATAGACCTAATAGACATCTATAGAACATTCCATCCAAGAGCAGCAGAATATACTTACTTGTCAAGTGCACATGGAACATTTCCCAGGATAGATCATATGACAGGACACAAAACAAGTCTTAGCAAAATAAAAAAATTAAAATCATACCAAGTATCTTTCCCAACTACAATGATATGAAACTAGAAATCAACAACATGAGAGTTGGAAAATCATGTGGAAACTAAGCAACACACTTCTGAACAGCTAATGGACCAAAGAAGAAATCAAAAGGAAAACCAAAGAATATCTCGAAAAAGTGAAACCTATGTGATGCTGAAAAAGCAGTTCTGAGAGGGACGTTTATAGTGATAAATGAATATATTAAAAAATTAGATCACAGATAACCTAATGTTACACCTCAAGGATCTAGAAAAGTAAAACAAATTAAGCCCAAAGTCAGCAGAAGGAAGGAAATAACAAAAGTTAGAATGGAAGTAAATTAGAGACCAGAAAAAAAAAACGGAAAAATCAACAAAACAATTTTTCTTTTCAAAAAGATAAATAAAATTGACAAACTTTAGTGAGACTAAAAAATAAAGAAGACTCAAGTCAGAAATAAAAGAGGAGAAATTATAACTGAACCTACAGAAATACAAACAATCATAAGAGACTATTATGAACAATTATGTGCCATCAATTTAGATAACCCTTAGTGGATGAGTTTGTAGAATCTCTTCAATAAGTGGCGTTGGGAAAATTGGACAGATAGAATGACATTAGACTACTTTCTTATACCATACAAAAATAAACTCAAAATGTATTAAAAACTTAAATGTAAGACCTGAAACCATAAAACTCCTAGAAGAAAACATAGGCGGTAAACTCTGTGATATTGCTTTTAGCAACATCTTTTTGTTTTGTTTTGTTGTTTTTTTTTATCCTCACCCGAGGACATTTTTCCATTTTTTGTTCAGGTAGAGTGGGAGGGAGAGAGAGGAACAGAGAGAGAGGGAAACATCGATGCGAAAGGAACACATCGAGTGGCTGCCACCCGCACGACCAACCAGGGCCGGGGACAAACTGCAACCGAGGTACGTGCCCTTAGCGGGAACCGAACCCGGGTCTCTCCAGACCGCAGGCCGACGCTCTAACCGCTGAGCCAAACCGGCCAGGGCAGCAACATCTTTTTGGATATGTCTTCTTGGCAAGGGAAAGAAAAGGAAAAAATAAACAAATGGGATTACATCCAACTAAAAAGAATTTGTATAGTGAAGGAAACCATTAACAAAACAAAAAGACGACTGAATGGGAGAAGATATTCCCAAATGATACATCCGATAAATATATAAGGATGTATACTATCCAAAATATATAAGGAACTCGCACAATTTAACACCAAAAAACCCCCAGACAATCCATTTTGCACTGGCCAGTATGGCTCAGTTGGTTGGAGCATCATCCTGTACAGGTCTCAGCTTTGATTCCTGGTCAGGGCACATACCCGGGTTGCGGGTTCAATTCCCAGCCAGAGTGCATATAGAAGGCAACCGGTCAATGTTTCTCTCTAACATTGATCTTTCTCTCTGGAATCATTAAGAACATAACCTCGAGTAAGGATTAAAAAACAACAACACCCAGACAGTCCACTTAAAAAATGGGCAGAGGGCCTGAATAGACATTTTTCCAAAGAGGACATACAGATGGCCAACCTGAATAGGTGCTCACCATCGCTAATCATCAGGGAAATGTAAATTAAACGCACAATAAGATACCACCTCACACCTGTCAGATTAGCTAGTGTCAGGAAATGAACAAATAACAAGTGCTGGAGAGGATGTAGAGAAAAGGGAACCTCTCATGTGCTGCTGGTGGGATTGTAAATGAGTGCAGCCACTATGGAAAACAGTATGGAAAGTCCTCAAAAAATAAAAATAGAGCTGCCAAATGATCTAGCAGTTCCACTTCTGGGTATTTATCTGAAGAAAACAAAAACACAAATAGCATTATTAGTAATAGCCAAGATATTGAAGCAACCGAAATGTCCATCAGTAGATGAATGGATAAAGAAGATGTGGTACATATATACATATTACTCAGCAATAAAAAAGAATGAAATTTTGCCCTTTGTGACAGCATGCATGGACCTAGAAGGTATTATGCTAAGTGAAATAAGTCAAACATAGAGAAAGGCAGATACCCTATGATTTCACTCATATGTGGAATCTAAAAAAACCCCAGAACAAATGAATAAACAAAACTGAAACAGACACCCATAGATTTAGAGAATAAGCTGATGGCTACCAAAAGGGAAGGTGGAGTGGGAGGATGGGAATAAAATAATGAAAACTTAAAATCCTTCTCACAGCATTTCTCACTTCAACATCTGGCCACAGAGTAGGGGTGGGGGGGCATGTAAAAATACGTTTAGAACCTAATGCTAAATGTGAGTTCCAGAATGTGGTCAGGCCCTCTGCAGTCAAACATGAATATTAAATCCTTGCCCAAGAAACAGGTGACTTGTTCTGAATCTTACTTACAAAAAACACCTTTTTAATTGCTTGCAGACAATTTTAAAAGGTGACACTCTCTCATCTCCTTGGTTTTATTTTCCTGTGGACAAATAATAAAAAATTGAATTGCCAGTTTGTTTAGGTGAATTATTCCAATTGTGGACTTTACCTTGAGAGCTAAAACTTATCAGATATTGTTTGAACAAATTTTTCAAGCAGTCTGTTTGAAAATTCAAAGACATTTTTCTTTCAGTTCTTATTCCATTTGTATTTCTGAATAAAGAAGAATATTTTTTTATACTATAAAACCTTGAACATGAGGCAGGAAAGAAATATATTAATCTACCTTAGCCAAGTAATTTCTCTTCAAAAAGTATTATTTTCTATGTGTAAAGCTCTGGAGGAATGATATTTTTATAAACATTGTGCTTTTGGGGGAACTTAGCCCTACCTTTATGACAGTGGTAAATATAAATATCAGGCAAAAATGATTCAGCTTCCAAATAGCCCAGATGACACTGAACTGAGAGCAGGAAGCTACTCTGAGGACTGAGCGCTTTAAAGACACAGAAGTCAGGGCACTTACTCATCTTTGAATCCCCAGGTTAGAGCACAGTACCTGGAATAGCAGGGTAATGGTAAACTTTCGTAAAATAAATACTAAACTGTTGTAAAATAAATATAAAGTAGAATAGAAGTTTTTGAGGGGGGAAAAAAAAAGAGTACCTAGCTAAGACAGTGACTGAGTCCAGGAGAGTGAGAAAAGGCAGGTTTGAAAACTGGACTCAGGCCCTGGCTGGTTTGGCTCAGCGGTTAGAGCGTCGGCCTGCGGTCCGGAGAGACCTGGGTTCGGTTCCCGCTAAGGGCACGTACTTCGGTTGCAGTTTGTCCCTGGCCCTGGTTGGTCGTGCGGGTGGCAGCCACTCGATGTGTCCCTTCACGTCGATGTTTCTGTCTCTCTCTCCCTCCCACTCTATCTGTACAAAAAATGGAAAAATATCCTCGGGTGAGGATAAAAAAAAAAAGAAAACTGGACTCAGTTCGTAGTAAACTTAATGTTCTTTCTATTTTACTTCAGACTTGAGTTTGGGAGGTGTCCTTTTATTTCCTATTGATGATAAAGAGTCAAGAAACAAAGGGCAAGATTTGGTAAGTGAAAAAACCGCATCTCTTTTCAGAGCTAAAATTTGGCTCCTATCACCTCCTCTTGAAACCACTTCTCCTCCCACTGGCCTCGCTGGGTATTAGTTTGCTAGGGCTGCCATCAAATACCACAGACTGGATGGCTTAAAAAACTAAAACTTATTTTCTCACAGTTCTGGAAGCCACAACTCCAAGATTAAGGTGCTGGCAGGGCTGGTTTCCTCTGAGAAAAAGAGTAAGAAAAACGGATACAAAGTTGCCACAAAATAAGATGAAATAATTACAGTGGGGCATGAAATCATATATTTGGTAGGAAATGGCTGTTCAGGCAGAGCATTCAAAAGAGGTGGAGCTAGCCCAGTGGATTGAGCATCATCCCATGGACTGGGAGGTCCCCGTTTGATTCCAGGTCAGGGCACATGCCCTGGTTGCAGGCTTGATACCCAGTAGGGGGCGTGCAGGAGACAGCCAGTCGATGTTTCTCTCTCATCTCCATGTTTCTATCTCCTCTTCCTCTCTCTCTAAAAAAATCAATAAAAACATTAAAAAAAAAAAAAAAGGTGGAGCTAAAGCCTGAGTGATCCATAAAGGGCTACGTCTATTGGGGACTGCTCACACCTCTCCAAGGGCAGGTCACTTAGCTGGCTGTGTAGCTGTGTCAGCCATAATGATGGTTTCTCCTAGCTGGCCTTGATCGTGGCTCAGCACCGTGATCGCTCCCATGTCCTGTCTGGCATCAAGATGGCAGCCCTAGAAGAGGGCCTGAAGAAGATTTCTTTAGCAGCAAAGAAAAAGAAAGGTAAGCTCTTCCATTTGTGCTCAGGAATAGTCTGTTTCTAAGCATGTTATATGATTTTTAAGGGGTGAGAAATGTCAAGAACCCAGTCAATATATGTGGTAAAGGTAAGTCCCGATGTGAGAGGTGACAGAAGTAACTACCCTGTCATCTTGTATTTGTAAAGTCCCTTTTCCTTTCCAAATCACACCTGCATCCATGATCTCAGTGCACCATCTACATCCACTGGGGAATTTATATCGTGATTTTACAGATGAGGAGGGAGAGCAGCAGAGATGAAGTAAACTGGTTATATGTAGCTGGAAAATGCTATCTATCATGTCCTCTCTTGGAAAGTCACGCATAGTGCACATCAGCAGACAGTTCTCTGTCAAAATCCATAGTTTAGTGTTGTTTTCAAACCCGGTATATCGCAGAGTTTGTTGAACTGATTGATTTGTTAAAGAATCTTTGCTTAGCCCTGGCCGGTTTTGCTCAGCAGTTACAGCATCAGCCTGTGGACTGGAGAGTCCCGGGTTCGGTTCCCACTAGGGGCACATACCTCGGCCTCAGTTGGGGTTGTGTGGATGGCGGCCACTCAATATGTCTCTCTCACATTGATGTTTCTCTCTCTCTCTCTTCCTCCTCCTCTCCCTCCTGCTCTATCTGAAGATAAATGCAAAAGTGTCCTCCGGTGAGGAAAAAATAAATAAATGAAAGAATCTTTGCTTATTTTAATTATATCTTGACTATTGATCATATTCTATTTCCATTGTACCTACTTATTTCCAGTATGTGTAGGTCCTTGTGTTCCATAGAATTGTTTTTCCCTTTTACAGTCCCTCCCCAGAATATTTTTGACATTATAACGGTACACTTTGAGTGGGATACTTCATGATTATTTACATTTGGTCCATTGGAAACCACAAAGTGATTAAGAGTAAAGATTATTTTCTCCTATGTATATATTATACCCATCAATCCATTTTTGATGAAGGAAGTCATCATAATCTATTCTTTTTTCTTTTCAACAGCAAGTGTCCATCTTCCACGCATTGGACATGCCACAAAAGGTTTTAACTGGTATGGTACTGAGAGACTTATACGGAAATACTTGGCTGCAAAAGGCATCCCAACTTATATGTATCCTTTTGTTACTCTAATAGTGTCCATTCCCAGTTTGGGTCTGTTTATATGTATGAGGTAGATCTGCTACAACTCCCAGTTTAGGTAGGGTGGTCTTATGTAGTAGGTGACATGTGGGTCCCACTGGTGTAGTCTTTCTGATCATCAGACCTGGGTGCTCTAATAATCACTTGTGAGCTTTGTGTGGGCCCTTCTATTGTTTTGGAGTCTTAATTGCTATTGGCCCGCCTGTGTATGGACTCAACCCTCAGGCTGGCTGATAGTGATGCTCAACCCCAACACAGCATACAAGCTTCTGTGCAGTGCTTTTCACACCAAGCACAGTTCACCTCAGCAGGGTTTGGAGTCTGGGGATATACTGCTTGTGAAGCCAACTGGGACCTATTCTGTTGTTGATGTAAACTGGGCACTGGGTTTATTGGTTTTAGGCTTCTTTGGAGTGATCCACAGCTTGTGGCTCCTTCTGCTAGGGCTGGGTGTGTATGGTAAATAAGAAGCTGAACACCAAGGTCTGGTTTTACTAGCCCACGGCAGAGGAGCAGATCAGGCAAAGACCCAAAGCACCCAGAGATCTGCTTCTGCCTGCAGGCTGTTAGTCTCAGTCACTTAATGAGCCTCAGGCTGTCTTCCTAGTCTGGTATAAACTCCACAGGGAAGAGTGAGAGAATTTTCAACAGATGGAGCATTCGCCCCCACCCCCACCTTCCCACCAGGCTAAAGCTATTTTGATGAAAAAACTCTTTCTGAGAGTGGTGGCTTCTGCAGCATGGAGGAATGACTCAGCACAGGGATATTGGCAGCTGCCTTCCCAGCTCTTTCCCCAGAGCCACCATTCCCAGACTGTCTTCACAAGGCTTTAGTCCGCTCAGCTCTGCTTCTGCTGGAGCCCAAGGTGAGTGGTTGCAAATGAAATTTAGTGCATTGGCCCTTTTTTTTTTTTTTTTAATCCTCACCCGAGGACATTTTTCCATCTTTTGTACAGATAGAGTGGGAGGGAGAGAGAGGAAGAGAGAGAGAGAGAAACATCGACGTGAAAGGGACACATCGAGTGGCTGCCACCCGCACGACCAACCAGGGCCGGGGACAAACTGCAACCGAAGTACGGGAACCGAACCCGGGTCTCTCCGGACCGCAGGCCGATGCTCTAACCGCTGAGCCAAACTGGCCAGGGCTGCATTGGCCCTTTAAGAGAGTATCTGGGATTCTGGCCGTCTCTCCCTGCCAGACAGAACCTCTGGTGCTTTTCACAGCCAAGTGTTATGTGGGTACCTTTCCCAGTTCTGTCACTCTGGATGGAGAGGCCAGCTTATGGTTTAAACCCCACCCTTCTCAGGGGGAAACCCCTGCCAGTGAGATGTCTCTCTGGAACTTTAGCTGCTGCCTGTGGGAGCCCAGCCAGCCCTGTTCTTGTGCCTTTGCACTTCCTACCATTCTTGGTGTGCGCTCTTCTTTATGTCCTTGGTTTTAAGGGTTATCTCCAGGTAGTCTTCAGTTGGTTATTCAGGATAGTTTTTTAATATTTTAGTTTTAATTCCATTTTGGTCCTTGGAGAAGGTCAGTGTAGCTTCCATTTAATTGACTGTCATTTTGAAGTTTCTCATTCTTTAAAATGTTATGTTAGCTTGTTAACTTGGGCTTTTTCTGGTTTCTTGAGATAGGACTGCAATGATATAAACTTCCCACTTGTTACTGCTTTTGCTGCATCTCAAAATGTTTGATATGTCATGTCATTCTCATTTGTCTCTACATATCTTTTGATCTCACCATTTATTTCTTCTTTGACCCAGTCATTTTTTAGTACTATGTTGTTTAATCTCCACATATTTGTGGGTTTCTGTACTTCCTCTTTGCAGTTGATTTCTAATTTCAAAGCACTGTGGTTAGAGAATATGGTTGGTATAATTTCAATCTTCTTGAATTTATTGAGGCTAGTTTTGGGACCCAGTATATGGTCTGCCCTTGACACTGTTACATGTGCTTTGGAGAAAAATGTATAATCTGATGTTTTGGGATCAAAGGCTCTATAGATTTCAATTATATCCATGGTGTCTAATGTATCATTTAAGGCTGATATTTCTTTGTTGATTTTCTATTTGGATGATCTATCTAGAGCTGTCAATGCAGTGTGTTAAGGTTCCCAACTACAATTGTGTTTTGGTCTGTTTCCCCCTTTAGTTCTGGGAGTACTTGCTTTATATATCCCAGTGTTCCCTGATTGGGTGCATACCTATTGAGAAGTGTAATGTCTTCTTGATATAATACTACTTTTACCATAATAAAGTGTCCATCTTTATCTCTTGCTGCCTTTGTTATCTTGAGATTTTTTTTTTTTTTGTCAGATATAAGTATGGCTACACCTGCTTTTCTGTAGATAATGTTTGTTTGGAAAATCATTTTCCACCCTCTCACTTTGAGTCTACCTTTGTCTTTGTAGCTTAGATGTGTTTCCTAATGACACCATATAGTTGGGTTTTGTTTTTTGATCCAGTCTGCTACTCTGTGCCTCTTCATTGGTGAATTTAATCAGTTCACATTTAGGATAATTATTGATGTATGTGGATTTCCTACAGCCATTTTATCTTTTGTTTTCTGGTGCCTCCATTGGTTTTTTTCCTTTGTGTTTCTGTTTATTTTATTTGGTGGTATTCTAGGCTTCTTTCTTCTGTTTCCTCTTTTTCTATACCAAGTGTCTCAGTTTTGTTGTTTTTTAATGTTTGGTTACCATTAGACTTATGAAAAAGAATGTTATATATTTATAGGAGTTCTTTTTAATGCTTCTGGCCTCCATCCTCATTTGCCAATTCAGACTTTTTCCCCATCGTTTGGTTGTCACAAATTATTCCCATTTATGCTGTAAGTTTGTTGATGATCTTACTTGTAGATTTGTGGCCTTCCATTCTTTGTTTCAGGTAGAATTAACCTCCTTGGGAATTACCAGCAATGGAGGTCTTCTGGTGATGAATTCCCTCCGCTTCTGCATGTCTGGAAAAGTCTTTTAAAAACATTTTTTTTTCCTTTATTGATTTTAGAGAGAGAGGAAGGGAGAGGGAGAGAGAGATAGAAACATCGATGAGAGAGAATATTGATTGGCCTCCTCCTGCATGCCCCCCACTGGGAATTTGGCCCACAACCTGGGCATGTATCCTGACCGGGAATTGAACCAGTGATATCTTGGTGCATGGGTCGATGCTCAACCACTGAGCCACACCAGTTGGACTGGAAACGTCTTTATTTCTCCATATATAAAGGATAACTTTGCTGGATAAGTTATTCTTGGCTGATAATTTCTCTTTCAGGTTTTTGAATATTTAATTCCACTGTCTTCTGGCTTGTAGAGTGTCTGCAGAGAAGTTTGTTAACCTAATGAGCTTTCCTTTTTAAGTTACTTTCTTTTTTTCTCTTGCTGATTTGAGAATCCTTTCTTTGTCATTAATTTTTGACAGTTTTAATACAATGTGCTTTGGAGAAGGTCTCTTTGGATTGAGGTAATTAGATGTTCTTTTAGCTTCTTGGATTCAAGAATTTAGTTCTTTCCATAGGTTTGGGAAATTTGCATCAACTATTTGTTTGAATAGGCTCTCTGCTTCCTTCTCCCTCTCTTCTTCTTCTGGTATGCATATTATTATTATATTCCGTTCTCTGATGGAGTCACATAGTTCTTGTAGAGTTCTTTCATTTTTTATTTTTATGCTCAAGTCTGTCTCTTTTCTCTGCATCATTTCTAGATTTCCATCTTTGATATCACTGATCCTTTCCTTGATTTATTTTGCACTGTTTCCAATGCTCACTACTTCATCTTTTTTTTTTTTTTTTTTTCATTTATCTTGAGATAGAGCAGGAGGGGGAGAGAGAGAGAAACATTAATGTGAGAGAGACACATCAAGTGGCTGCCACCCACATGACCCCAACCAGGGCTGGGGACAAACCACAACCAAGGTACGTGCCCTTAGTGGGAACCAAACCTGGGACTCTCCAGTAGCTGGCCCACGCTCTAACTGCTGAGCCAAACCAGCCAGGGCTTCATTCTTGATCTTTTTTTTTTTTTATTTATTTATTGATTTTAGAGAGAGAGAAAGGAAGAGGGAGAGAGAGACAGAAATATTGATGAGAGAGAACATCAATTGGCTGCCTCCTGCATGCCCCCCACTGGGGATTGGGCCCACAACCTGGGCATGTGCCCTGACCAAGAATTGAACTGGCGCCTCTTGGTGCACGGAATGCGTTCAACCACTGAGCCACACCAGCTAGGCTCATCCTTCATCTCTTTTATTGAAGTCTTCTTCATCTTCAGGATTTATGTTAGGTTCTTTTTTAAAGTTTTAATCTTTTTGGTGAAGTACTCGTTTTGTTCATTGTCTTCTGAGCTTGCTAAATTACCTGTCTGCATTTTCTTGCATCTCATTGAGTATGTTCCGAACTGCAATCTTGAATTCTGTCATTTATGTCACATATTTCTATGTCTTTAAGTTTGTTTTCTGGAGATTTTTCATTTTCTTTCCAAGCTGCCTTCCTACCCTGGTTATTCATGGTTGGATTTTTTCTCTGTCTAGGCATCAAGGTGTGAATACCATTTCTCTAGCAGATTAACACAAAGAGGTCTTTCTATCCTTTTCCAGTGTGTGGTGCTGACTCAGAAAGTTTTTTTTTTTTTCAATTATTATTATTTTTTAGCTCTTCGAGATCCCAGTGCTATCTCCTGCTGCCTCTGCAGTCATTTTAGGGGCAGTGTGCTAGGGTTGGGGTGGGCTGTGCATCCCTCCAGGTTCTTTGTTGTTTTACTCTCCTGGTAATTGCTGCCTCAGTGCTCCCCCTGTCTCCCCTGTATCCTGACCCAGGACTGATCACAGAGGGTGTATACCCTTTGCTCAGGGAGAAATGTAATTCTGCAGTATTTGTTTTCCTGCTTGTTGTTAATGTGCTCTGCAACCCTACTCCAAGGGCAAAGGGAAGAGGTCTCTGGGAGGTTAAGGAAAGGTGGCAATGATTGTGGCTTGGCTTCACTGTGGCAACTGATGACTGCCCGTCAAGCACAACCTGCCCAGGACACTCTGTTCACCGCAGCTGGTGCTGCTCTCTCCTGCATCGAGTCTCTCTTTCTTCCAGCCAAAGGGGGTGTCAGCGACAGCCAGATTCCTTCCCTCTCCCAGCTGAGCCTCATGGTGAGCTCTGGCTGCTGGGCTGTGTTCCTGGCTTATATCAACCCCACTTCCTTTTTGCCTCCCCCTTTTGCTCCCCTTTCCCATCTTTAGATGTTTCACTGTGCATGCAGGTCTCTCAGGCATATGTGTGCATTGAGCAGGAAATATTTTGTTGAGATATGGCTTTTCAGATTGTTGAAATTTCAGGGGAGAGACCAAAGGAATCTCTCATGCCACCATTCCTTTGATATAATCTTGTTTCGCTAGACTAGTATTTTCTTCTAATGACCTCTTTGCTATGTAAGTTAGAATTGTTTGAACTTTTACGGTAAGTCCAAAATTGATCCACAAATGTTATAATCATATAGAAACTGTATCTTTTTTCTTAGATACTTACTGAAATTCACTCAGTGGTGGTTTTCAAGGTATTTAAATTACTTAGCAGACAAGTCATGTTTTATACACTTGTAAAATTCAGGCAATATCAAAAGCACTCTAGTATGTCAGCAGTAGCAGTAATAAGTATTAGCAACATCTGAAGGATTTATAATATGGTGAAAGGGAATTAAAGCCATACTACTCTGGAGTGGTTAGTTCAACTATTACTAAACTAGACAACTAGTAGTTTTAGTAATGTCTGTTTTAGTCCCGAATGTCAGAATGGGACGGGCAGGGGGTTGAGACCACCAGAGAAGAAGTTATAGGGGAGACAACCAAATAAGTTGTAGCTTTTTTTATTTTAAAGTGATGAAGTGTATCTTCCTTGACTATCCATATCAGATATTACTTTCCCAGAAACAAGGCTGCCATCCCTCATTCACGGTACTCATCTTCCTCCTCAGGACAGCCGTTGCCTTCACAATCGGCCCAGACTCAGCTCCAGCCTTCAGCAACCAGCTAAGAAGATTTTTGCTCAGAACTACTGTAATAGAATATTTTAGAAAGGAATTGGGATCTGGTGGGCTTCTGAGATACTCTTTTTTCTGAATTGTAATTTTGTTCTCCTGGATATGTTACTCTGATTTGGTACCTGTAATACAGGGATGTATAAGTTAGTTGGGAAAGTCCTCTGGCTGTTCTCAGGGCCCCGCTTTGCATAGATATTTGAATGATAATAAAGTTTCCATCTCTAATGGTTTCAGTGTTTTTTCCCCCCAGTCTAGTTTTCCTCCCCTCCATCAGACTGATTTCTTTCTTGAGGGAAAGGCCATATGGATCAGAGAGAAATGAAAGGTAATAGAGCAGAATTGCTCTGGGAGAAGGAAACACCCTCATCCAGCTCACACCTTAGAAGGATTGGCCTCCGAGGGCAGAGGCTGCGAAGTGAAGTTCCTCATCCGGATGAGTGGAGCCTCCCCTGCCATTCACACTACTCAGTCTGGAGAGCTAAAAGAATACACGCTGGCCTAGAGGCACTTTAAATGTGGCTCCAGAGAAACAAGAGGGTTTTCTTTCCTCTTCTCTCCAAATTTGGTGCAGCTTCAAGAAAAAGGGGAATCGTAGAAATGGCAAAAGCTGACACAGAATGTCCAGATGGGAAGGGCAGGGGGCTGAGACCACCAGAGAAGCAGTTACAGGGGAGACAACCACATAAGCTGTAGCTTTTTTTGTTGTTGATTTTTCAATTGAATTTATTAGAGTAACATTGATTAATAAGAAAGATTATATAGGTTGCATTGTACAATTCTATAATACATCCTCTGTGTATTGCATTTTGTACCCACCATCCAAAGTTAAATCCGTCACCATGTATTTGGCCCTCTTTCCTCTTTCCTCTGGTAAACATCATACTGTTGTCTGTCTGAGTTTTTTTTTGTGTGTGTTTTTTGTTTGTTCATTGGTTGCTTTCAGTTTTATCCCACATATGAGTGAAATAATAATGGTTCTTAACTTTTTTTCCTGACTTATTTTGATTACCATGATATTCTCAAGATCCCAGTGATATTGTGAAAACTATGCATAGCACCAGTTGGGGAAATATTGAGGGGAACACTATGTAGAGTATATGATTGTCTAACCACTAAGCTGTACACCTGAAACCAACAGATAATAAATTTAAAATAAAGATCCATTCATGTTGTCACATATGGCAGTACTTCGTCTTTTCTTAAGGCTCAGTACTATTCCGTTTTATACATGTATCCTATCTTCTTTATTCAATCATTTATCAAAGGACACTTCGATTGTTTCCATGTCTTGGCCACTGTGTATAATGCTGCAGTGAACACAGACAGAGATGCATGTATCTTTGCAAATCAGTGTTTTCAAAATTTTCAAGAGGGATTGCAGGATCATATGGTAACTGTCCTTTTTTGAGGAGCCTCCATACTGTTTTCTAAAAGTGGTTGTACCACCTTACATTCCCACCACCAGTGAATGAGGGTTCCTTTTTCTCCACAACTTTTCCAATTCTTGTTATTACTTGTCTTGTCGATAATAGCCCTTCTAACAGGTGTGAAGTGGTATCTCATTGCAGTTTTGATTTGCATTTCTCTACTTGCTAGTGAATTTGAACATCTTTTCATGTATCTGTTGGCCATTTATATGTCTTCTTGGGAGAAGTGTCTGTTCAGGTCTTATGCTCATTTTTAAATTGGATTGTTTGTTTAGTGTTGAGTTGTATGAGTTCTTCATATGTTTTGGATATTAACCCCTTGTCAGAGTTGTTGTTTGCAAATACCTTTTCCCATTCAGTCAGCTGCCTCTTTGTTTTGTTGGTGGTTTATTTTGTTTGCAGAAGCTTTAGTTTTGTGAGGTTTACCTGAGGACATTTTTGCATTTATCTTCAGATAGAGTGGGAGGGAGAGTGGGAGGAAGAGAGAGAAACATCGATGTGAGAGAGACACATCAACTGGTTGCCACCCACACAACCCCAAAGGGGCCAGGGATAAACCGCAACCGAGGTAGGTGCCCTTAGTGGGAACTGAACCCAGGTCTCTCTGGTCCATGGGCCAACACTAACTGCTGAGCCAAACCAGCCAGAGCCAGAAGATTTTTAGTTTGATGTAACCCCATTTATTTATTTTTGCCTTTACTTTGCTTGCCTTTGGGGTCAAATTCATAAAATGATCTTTATAACCAAGGTTCATAAGTTTAGTATCTGTGTTTTCTTCTATGTAATTTATTGTTTCAGGTATTACATTTAGTTCTTTGATCCTTTTCGAGTTAGTTTTTGTATATGAGGACAAACAGCAGTCAAGTTTCAGTCTTTTGTGTGTGGTTTTCCAATTTTCTCACTATCACTTATTGAAGAGATTTTCTTTCTCCATTCTATGTTTTTGGCTTCTTTATCAAAAAGTATTTGCCTGTATACCTGTGGTTTTATTTCTGGGCCCTCAATTCTGTTCATTGATCGGTGTCTGTTCTGTCAATACCATGTTGTTTTGATGATTGTAGCTTTGTAGTATAATTTAAAATCAGGTAGGGTGATACCTCTGCCTTTGTTCTTCCTCTCAGGATTGCTTTGGCTCTTCGGGGTCTTTTGTGTTTCCATGCAAATCTGATGAATTTTTGTTCTATTTCTTTTTCAAATGACATTGGGATTTTGATGGGGATTGCATTAAATCTTGTATTTTGCTTTGGATACTATTGCCATTTTAACTATGTTGATTCTTCCAATGCATGACCATGGAATATCTTTTCATTTCATTGTATATTTTTTGATCTTTTAAAATAATGCTTTGTGGTTTTCAGTGGATAGATCCTTTACATGCTTTATTAAGTTTATTCCTAGGTATTTTGTTTTTCTTTTTGGTGCAACTACGAAAGGAATTGGTGATTTTTTTTTCATTTATTTTTCTGAAGTTTCATTGCTAGTGTATAGTAATGCAGTAGATTTTTGTATATTGATTTTCTTAGTATTCTTGTATGCACCTTTTGTATTTCTATGATTTCTGAGGTCACATCTCATTTGATTCTGATTTTGTTTGAATCTTTTCTCTTTTTTCTTTAGTGAATGTAGCCAGAGTGTTGTCATTTGTATTAATCTTTTCAAAGAACCACTAATTTTTTTTGTATAATCTTTTTGTTCTTTATTTCACTGAATTCTGCTCTAATTTTAATATTTTCTTCTTTTGACTTTGGGCTGCTTTTGTCCTTACCTCTTGTTACTGCTTTCACTGCATCTCAGAAGTTTTGTTAGGTCATATTGTCATTCTTATTTGTCTCTCTATATCTTTTGATCTCACCATTTATTTTTTTCTTCCAGTAATTTTTTAGTAGTATGTTGTTTAATCTCCACTTATTTGTGGTATTTTTCACTTCCTTTTTGCAGTTAGTTTATTTCTAATTTCAAAGCATTGTGGCTGGAGAATATGCTTGGTATGATTTCCGTCTTAAATTTGTTGAGGCCAGTTTTGTGTCCCAGCATATAGTCTATCCTTGACAATGTTCCTTGTGCTCTGGAGAAGAATGTATAATCTAGTGGGGTGAAAGGCTATGTAAATGTCAATTATGTCCATTTGGTCTAATGTGTCATTTAAGGCTGATATTTATTAATTGATTGATTTTCTGTTTGAATGATCTATCTATAGCTATCAATAGGGTATTTAGGTCCCTTACTATGATTGTATTTTTTTTGTCTGTTTCTCCCTTTAGCTCTGTGAATAATTGCTTTATATATTTCAGGGCTCTCTGATTGGATACATATATATTGGGAAGTGTTAGTCTTCTCGATGTAGTGTCCACATAATCATTATAAAATGTCCATCTTTGTTTCTTTTTACCTTTGTTATCTTGAAATCTATTTTGTTCAGATATAAGTATGGCTACCCCTGCTTTTATGTGGGTGCCATCTGCTTAGAGAATCATTTTCCATCCTTTCACTTTGAATCTACCTTTGTCTTTGCAACTTAGATGTGTCTCCTGAAGGCAGCATATGTTGGGTTTTGTTTTTTTATTTAATGTGCTACTCTGTGCTTTTTCATTGGTGAATTCAGTCCATTTAAATTTAGAGTAATTACCGATGTATGGGGATTTCCCATAGCCATTTTATCTTTTGTTTTCTGGTAGCTCTGTGTCTCCATTGGTTCATTTCCTTTGTGTCTGTTGCTTTTTTTTGGTAGTATTCTATACATTTTTCATCTATTTCTACATTTTAAAATTATGTGTCTTGGTTTTAGGTTTAAGTTGTGGCTTTTCATACTTTTGCGTGTGAAGTCTCAGTCTTGACCGTCCTCAACCAGCCTGCTTTCTGCTGTCCTGAGGCCCTCAACACCCAAGTTTTCCCTGGGCCCTTGATTCATGGAACTCAGACTTTAGTACCTGAGTTGTCCTATTCTGTTTGACTCTCTGTCTCTGGCATGTTCAGCCTTCAACAGTTTAGCATCTGTGTTGAAGACTTGTTAGACCCTAAATCCATGATTTCTTCTTTTTTTTTTCTGTAAAACTTCTTTCATTTTTACTCCCTTCTGTCTACTACTCTACCAGTCCCTGACACAGGTTATTTTAAGAACTTTGTCCTCTGTACTAGCACCTTAATTGTCTCCTACAACTAGAAGCAGAATTGGACTCCATCCAAAAAAGGAGAATGTAGCCAAACCTAACCTTGTGCACAGGTAAGTTGCTGTGCCTTCAACAGCAGCCAGAGTTCAAATAGGGGGGCATTAACCAAAAAAAAAATCTTTTTTTTTTTTGATTGTCCAAAAGCTGTATATCGCCCTGAAAATCTGCACTCGCTTATGAGAACATAGTGTGTAGGGATAGCTGTAGTAGGTTCTGAACATTTGAGAGAAGCATCAGAGCAGGGACCTCATTTGCAAAGGGAGCTTAGCTGACCTTTTCAGGGGCACAGATGTGTTTCATTTGTTTGCTCGCTTGCTTTTTAAAGGAGAGAGGGGCATTTTTTTCATCTTATACTCTGTCCCCTATGCTTCAGCCACATAGGCTTTTTCTCTGAATGGCGGCCCTGGGCTCTGAACTACTGTCTCCTGCTAAGCTGGGCAAAACAACACAGAAGGCAGTCAGAAAACATGTAGCACATTTGCCCTTAAATGTGGGGTCATCTGTCAGTGGCAGCCCCCTGCTTTTCTTGTCTACCTTGCTGAGCTCTTCAGAGTCAAAAATACTGCCCAGCCCTGGCTGTTTTTGCTCAGTGGTTAGGGCGTCGGCCTGCGGTCTGGAGAGACCCAGGT